CATTCCCTCTTTTTTTTTTTTTTACCACATTGTGTGTTCAATGTTCTATTTTTTATGTTAGGTTCTGTATTGTGTTCATAAAATATTCAGAGCACAACCCTTTTCATGGGGATACAATACTACCCTTTTCATTTCAAGTTGATAGCCTCTACACTCAGTTGTTGTTCATGTTTATGCTCGTGAATTTCTTTGATCTAGGCACCATTTGAATGAATTTCGCAACCGTTTATATCATATGTTTAGGGAAAAGATGCACTGGCCGTGCAGTATTTGTTTCAAAGCCAAATAGCCAATAACTTTGATTCAGTCCTTTAAATGGTGAACTCTGAACTCTATAGTGGTAGTGGTTGTTGTTTGTGCATCATTACAAGTTACCATTTGAATTACATCCAGAATACTGTATGATAAATTCTGTCGTTTTTAGAGTTTCATCAACAATTGTGAACATTGAATCACTTTTCTTACCTTGCTTGGTAAATGCAACACAGAGTCCATGCTTATGCCAACCAAATACTAAAAATTCGCACTTCTTTCTGTTCATGTTAGACAAAATCCACGTCTCTTGCTGCTGGAAACTTGGCAAGTGCAGCATTGGCTAAAATACCCTTTGATGTCTCTTTTTGTCGCAATTGAAGATTAATTATCATTCATGGCTAATTTGGGACATACTGTAAAATATCTGGCATTTGCATATCTACTGACTGTCTTTCTTTTGTAGCAGGATCGGACCAAGAAGCGGTACAGACAATTGTAGCGTTGATGCATACACCAGTGTTTGACTAGCTACTTGTATCAGTAGGGATCTTTTCTCCTCAATGACTAAGCAAGAGAAACTAAAGGTCAGCATATGTAGGATAAGTAATCTACCAGATGACATTCTTTTTCATATCTTATCATTCCTTCCAACAAAAGATGCAGTACGTACCTCCATTCTATCAACCAGGTGGAAAGGCCTTTACGTTTCAGTTCCTAGCCTTGATTTTGATGACTCACTCTTCTTGCGTCCAAAAAGGGGTACAAGAAATAGATACACTAGTTCGCGGAGTTTCATGAATTTTGTGGATCGGATGCTGTTTCAATGTCATAGATCACGACTGAATAAGTTCCGTCTGGCATGCTATCAAGCTATTGATTCTTCAAGGATTAATTCGTGGATATGCTCCGCGCTAGGCCATGATATTCGAGAGCTGGAATTATGGGTCTGTATAAAAGATGTCAGTTTCATGCCTCCTGTATATTCTGCTTGGAAAACCTTGGTGGTTTTAAAATTGGGTTCTAATTTTGTTCTGGATGTTCCTGCTGGTATTAGATTTCCATGTCTGAAGATTCTCCATCTGGATTCAATTGTATTTTTGGACAACTCAATTCAAAGGCTCTTTTCTAACTGCCCTGTGCTTGAAGATTTCTCCTTACGAGGATCTGAATGGAAAAGCGTTCTCAAATTCAACATTTCTTCACCAACACTTGAGAGATTGGATTTAAATTGTTTGACTGGAGAGGACCATTCTACTAAATGCAAGTTTGAGATTGTAATTAACGCCCCAAGGCTTGTCTACCTAAACTACAGCGATTATGTACCTGAAAGTTGCTCTCTTGTTAATCTACATTCTCTTGCGGAGGCTCATATTGGCATTGAACTTGGATCAGATCAACTATTAGACTTCTTTTTGAATACCCGACGTTATCATGATCGTGTGACTGAAATTGCTAGAGGAATCAGAAACGTTCAAGCGCTTTGCATCTATGGTGGTTTTTTCAAGGTCAACTTTCTTGCTCTCTTCTTATTATTTTACTGTTCTTCCAGTTAGGAATAGTTGACTTACTATTTTAATCTTAGTGAATTATTGGAGAGTGCAACTGATTTAATCTTTTCTTCTTTCAAGGCTCTCTCATATTGCTGCAAGCGGCCGCTACCTATGTTCAATAGCTTGACCTGCTTGAAACTTGAATTTTGCAAATGCGTCAGCAAGCAAACACTACCAGAGTTGCTGAGAAGTTCTCCTAACCTGGAAACTCTTATCTTTGAGGTATGACTTAACATGTGACTAGCAACAAATTTGGCGACCAATCCCTGGTCGGCTGATGCGATCTTTGTTTTTCTTTTCTGGCTAGGCAATTTGGGATGATGATATGCCAACTTACTGGCATCCACCTGATGGGGTGCCTTCATGTTTGTTGAACAATCTTGAGACCATCATAATTAGGTCATTTCAAGGAACGAAAGAAGAGCTGATAATGGTTGAGTATTTTCTGAAAAATGCACAAGTTCTGAGGAAGATGATGATGAATATTGCTGGAGTTGCTGAGAGAGAACAGTTGAAGATCACTAAAAAATTATTGATGCTACCAAGAGCCTCAGACAGATGCCAAGTCGAAATCCTCTGATATGCTATTCTGCATCTGTTATTGAAGCTGCCATTGTTCTTGTTGGACAGATTAGTTTTTTTTATCTCGTTTAGCTACAGCTATGCAGGCTTGTGTAGATAGGTCCTGTAAAATGTTTACACAGAGAGAACAGTATTCGTTTGAGTTTATGAGCATGCATGCATGCAGAAATAGTTGAACAAATCAAAGATATTTTCTGCTGATGAGAAGCCATCTGACGGTACAAACTTGAAGGATACCACAGACATATATATAGGGAGGATTAAAGGAAGATGCATGCAGAGAAGGGGATTAATGGTGGAAGTGACGAAATGTTGATGGTTTCTGGGAAAGGTTTTCTAAGATGCTTTTCGGTGCATAAATTTAGAAAGAATGAAAAGCTTCTTAATATTAAAAATAAATCCATAATTAGATTTTATAAAATTTTGATAGAAAATATAATTGAATATATAAATATTTAAATATATAAAAAGGTTTGGAATATTTAAATATTTTTTCCTATACTTTATAATTGAAAAACAAACAAAATATCTTATGGATTCACCTTTGCTAATTGAGTCCTTTTGTTGATCCTTGTCATTGGGCTTTTTTATCTAAAATTGGGCTTGGGCCTGGGATAGGCAAAACATTTGAGTTTGCTAAACAGGAAGCCTTTTCTTTTCATATATGTGAATGATGAAACTTGATTTTCTCCATTGATTTCAATTTTTCTTTTTCTTTTGATCTTTGGAAGCATTTCATTTTAGAGAGTCCATCTTCATGACAAGCAAAGCTCTATCATCCACTTTGCATCTTTTGAGCTCAGGATTTTGTTATTTTCTCTTTCGGCTCAATTTTTTAACCTTCTTGATTATTGTTGGTGATACGTTTTTCTAAAAGAATTAAGATAGACATTATTGATTTGTAATTTTTTTTTTTTTGTATTTAATGGAATTATAATATTCAGGATCATGATAATTGAATTTATTGCTTTTTTTTTAGGGGATATATATGTTTAGAAATGCAATTTAAAATCCATTAGAAAGAAGATTGAGTTTCCGTTATAGAAAAGTTAGTGAAAATATTATCAACTTTATAATTAGGAAAAAAAAATCGTAGCAAGGAAAAATAAAAGAAAAAGTTTGTTAAATTTACTTACTGAATTAGCTTTTAATATTTTAAGAGGTTGAAACTGCTAATTGTAGAAAAACGCAATTCACTGAATCGAAATTACAATCAATTTTATATTATTTAAAAAACTAAAAACTTTTTTTATTTTTTTACATAAAGTACTAATATAATGAATAATTATTTATTGACTGTAAAGATAAAACACTCAATGTTTGCATTTAAGATTTAAAGCTGAATAAATAAAAAATTAATATTTTAATCTTTTAAATAATATAAAATTAGTTATAATTTAATTTTTTTTAAAAAAACATAGAACATGGATTATCTTTTGTTTTATTTTTATTCTTAGATGTTAGAAATAGCTAAAAAAACAAAAATTGGCCAAAACCCTCTAAAGCCCATTCTACTGCGACAAAACCGAAGCATTGTAATTTTTTAGTAAATTATTAATTGGTCCCTCTACTTTTGCATAACGAATTGAATGGCCTCTTTTGTTATAAAAATCAATAAATTAGTTCCTTGACCAATCTTTATTATGATTAATTTAATATTATTTTATTTTAAAAAATTATCTTCTTTTTCTATATTTTTTTACCTTTTTTATTTATTAAAAAATTGAAAAAGAATAAGTTAGAAATAGATTTTAAAATATAATAATTAATTAATAACTTATTGAAATTAAAGAGAATATTTAAATTTTTTTCAAAAAACTAGAGTGACTAATTTAATAATTTACTCAGTAATTTTTATTTTTTATTTGAGAAAAAAGGCATATACTATAGGAACCATTGCCGGCCACCAAAGTTTCCTCCTCTTTTTTTCCTCTTCCGACTTTTTCGAAGAGGAGAGTTGTTGAAAGGAAGGAAAATTCATTAAAACGTAATAGAAAAGGTCACATGATTGTTACCAAACGTCAGTCTTAAAGTTCTATTTGGACTGAGATTTCAGAGAAAGTAAAACAAAAAGCCACCTCTTCCTCTTCCGCTCTGTTTAGACCCACCCAACAACCATAAAAATATAAAAAAATACCAATTTTTATTTCACCCTGCTTTTTTTTTTTTTAATATTTTTGTTAGATCCATAGATCATAAATCAGTGATTTCTTTTATTTTATTAAAGGCTTTGTACAACGCTTCAAGTTCTTTATGTTTCACTGCTTTTCGCCCTTTGGTTGATATTTTAAGAGAGAGAGCCTTAGATACGGACACTAGCTTTTTAGAGTTTGTACTGTTTTGAAACTTTCTCGTTGGTCTTTGATATTCACGGATTGGTTTTTTGATTGTGAGTTAGTTTTTTGAGATTTGAGATAAACCCATTACACCCTTTTGAATTTGAGTCAAAAGATCAGATTTTTACATCATGATTTGCAGTGTCAAGCAATCTGCTATAACCCCGACAATCATCGGATCTGACACTTTTTTCGCAGAAAAATCCCGTCGACAATACAAAGATCTTTGATTTTGCCTTCATTTAATGCCAATAAGAGTTCAAAATCAGTTCTTTCAATGTCAAAGCCTTTGCATGTGTCAAAGGTTGAGTCTTTTGCATTGTCAAAGCCTCTAAAGAGGAGCTTGATCACATGCAAGGCCTATGAGGCTGATCGATCAGAGCCCATTGAGGCACCTGATCTGAAATCAGAGGCGGCAAAAAAGGTTAAAATTGGGATTTATTTTGCTGTTTGGTGGGCTTTGAATGTTGTGTTTAATATCTACAACAAGAAGGTTTTGAACGCTTTTCCATATCCATGGTTGACTTCTACACTTTCTCTTGCTTGTGGATCTCTTATGATGTTGCTCTCATGGGCTACAAGGATTGCTGAAGCACCGAAGACTGATTTTGAGTTTTGGAAGACTTTATTCCCTGTAAGTTTTGATTTCTGGGTTTCGTTTGGTTTGATAGAAAAGTGAGAGAATTTGAGGAGAAAGTGAGGTTTTTTTTTGGTTTGCCAGGAAAAAAAAAACTGAGGGAAATCACGGGAAAGTGATGTTTTTGTTTTGGTCTGGATATTAAGAAAATTACCCCTTGTATGATTGCTGAGGAAAGTAGATAGAACAAGTGAAGGGAAATTATGATGCCTTGTTATTGATGCTTTGTTGTTTTGGTTATTTTATTTAATTTATGGTGATAACTGAAACTATCCTTTGTTAGATTGCTGATAAAGCTGAGAAAGTAAAGTTTCAATTTGCCTGTTTTAATTTTACTGGTTTCAAAAGGATACAAATTAATATGCACTTCAGGTCGGAATGATATTTGAATTTGGTTCAATATATGGTGGCTTTTGATGCTAGAATTCAAATTAGGGAAAATTCTAAGGTCTGGAATTCTTTTCGCAATTTATGCTGGGATTTTTTTCTAGCATTTTCTTGTCTGCGAAACAAAATTTTGATGTTCATTGGATTCATGATCTGTCCATTATATATGCTTTCTATTTGTGATATCTTTTTTTTTTTTTTTTTTTTGGCAATTCTTTGTTAACTAATAATTATTCTCTCTTAAGGTTGCTGTGGCACATACAATTGGTCATGTAGCAGCAACGGTGAGTATGTCGAAGGTTGCAGTTTCCTTTACCCATATCATTAAGAGTGGTGAGCCTGCTTTCAGCGTATTGGTTTCAAGGTTCCTATTGGGTGAGACTTTCCCTCTACAAGTTTACCTGTCCCTTGTTCCAATCATTGGTGGTTGTGCACTAGCTGCTGTTACTGAGCTCAACTTCAACATGGTTGGTAAGAATATCAGCTTTCATTTGTTGAAATTTGATTTGATTATTGTAAGGTTTTCTGTAACTTGTTTATAGTTTTGCTAAGAAGAGGTAGGAAGAGAAATCAAAGAGCAGTTTTAATCCCAGATCTTTCATCACCTGGAATCTGAGACGGCAAAAAAGATAACACTCTATGGGCTATACTTCTTTTAAATAAAAGATTGGGCCAAAAGATGTTCTGATTAAAACCAAATTCCCTGTGTTCTTTACTTTACCTTTCTTTCTTCATGATAGTCAAGCCAAAAATAATGATCTGAGTTCCCATCATTCATATTAATTATGTTGCAACTTTCTGAGTATATTGGAGTCAAGGTGTCAGCCTGGTTTTCTTTTAAAAGTTACTTGTGTCTAGCAGGTCAAGTGACGTGGGTTTGGCATTTTCTGACATTTCAGTCATTAGAGGAAATTATTTGGGCTTAGAACGTGATTTCAATAATTTTGCTCTTATGGGTTGTTTTCAGAATTATGAACTTGGTTTGCTGTCCGTTTCAGGTTTCATGGGGGCCATGATTTCCAACTTGGCTTTTGTTTTCCGCAACATATTTTCAAAGAGGGGCATGAAGGGGAAGTCTGTTAGTGGGATGAACTACTATGCTTGTCTCTCTATGTTGTCACTCTTGATTCTCACACCTTTTGCTATCGCTGTAGAGGGACCACAGATGTGGGCTGCAGGTTGGCAGACAGGCCTATCTCAGATTGGGCCGAATCTTGTTTGGTAATTGCTGACAACTGCAAACTCAATTTTCCTTGTATTAATTGGATGTGCCCACCTTTTATCCACATGGATTTGTTTTTACTTGGTAGGAGTGTTAAATTAAATTAAATTTGCAAGAATTTGTTTGATTGACCAATATTAAGATTACTCAGTTGTCTTGTATCGTTGTTGAGAAAGTTGAAATCAATAGGTATTTTTATCCAAAAAACAATGGCTTATATTGCTAAACAATTTAGTCCTACCGATAGGATTCCAAGTGATGGCTCACAATTAGATTTCTATGCAGTCTTACTTTTAATTAAATAGCATTTATTTTACCTGCGCATCTCATGATATATATGTCTGATGTACAATATATTGAATTGAGTGGATACTAGACATCAAACACAATCTGAAGAATTTAATTGCTAATTTAGTACCATTTAAGTTGTGCTTGATGAGTGTGAAATGAATTCTGGTCATTTTGTTTGTCATTTTGTTCCAATTACTTGGCCCTGCATTTTACTCACAGGAGTGACCAAGCATTTAACCGATTATCAGTTATTATTTTGTTGTGGTGAATTTTTTTAATTTAGTACCTTTTTTGAATATTTAACTACAAGTTCCCACGAGCTTCTTTTAATTTTCTTGTACAATAATCTGAAACATGTATTTTATTCACTTCTTTTGGAATTTGAATTATTAGACGAGCAGCTTTCTGCATATGTTCACGTGAGTGATATTTATTCTTTATCCCCATGCTTTTTGCTAAATGAATGCATGTGTGGCTTCTATTTTTTCCTTGTAGGTGGATTGCGGCACAAAGTGTATTCTATCATCTTTACAATCAAGTGTCATACATGTCCCTGGATGAGATCTCTCCCTTGACCTTTAGCATTGGAAACACAATGAAGCGTATATCTGTCATAGTCTCATCCATTATCATTTTCCGCACACCCGTCCAGCCTGTCAATGCTCTTGGAGCTGCAATCGCTATCCTTGGAACCTTCTTGTATTCCCAGGTAATTTGCCCGCTTCTCTTAACGAATTTAGTATGACGCTTCATAATTTGCCTTTACCATTAGATCTTGAAAAAGACATGCATGCCCTTTAGACAATTCTGCATGCAACATACAGACAAATTTTATTTGTATGTATCCTTCCCGTTGTTTCTATGTTAAAGATGCCAAATGAAAAGTTGAAAATGCTTTCAGTGGGAATAAGATGTATCAACAATCACGGGGGCTCATCAGAGTATTCATGTTGCATCCTAAGCATAGAAGTTTGTCTATTCTCTTTATGTTTCAGAAACATTAATTGCCTGCTTAAGACACATACAGTATAGCCAGACCACACAACAGAACTCATCTCAACTTGTCTTTGGCAGTTAATGCTTTTTAAAGCGAAAGAAAGTTGAATATCAGATGCAAGGGTAGTTGAACCCTTGATCCAAGACCTAGGAACTATGCCATGTGCATCTCCTCTGATAAATACAGATACAACTAGATCATTTTCCAACACCACGTGCACAATGTGATGTTTAGGTTTAGTTCATGGGAAATTGGTAATAAATGGATTAAGAGGTTACAGAATCTTGTTTGACTGTTAGATGTGGTAGAAAATACATTTCTTGCTCTTCTTTTTCATATTCTAATCCTGTAGCTCAGTGGTCTCTGATAGTAGAGACATCAACTGACTGTAGCAAGGAAGCACTTGAACAAGCTGATCTTTGGTGTTGATGATGGGGTTAGGTGTTAACTACCAATTTTGGGAGCTGATCCCACCTAGGTGACGTGATAGATTTGGAGTTAGTGGGCTCAAACATTGTCTATTTGTTGGGTTGGACCATACAAATGCCTACCTAACATTAGGAATCTAATAATATTCGCATTGTTTATTACAATTCATGAAGAGACAACGTTTTCAATTTGTTCCTAAGCAGACAACTACTATTTTGTTTTTTTTATCTTGGAATATTCTTGGTTTATTTTTTCGGAGGTAGAGCTCCGTGTGCTTAACATTCTAAACTTTGTTAATGTCTAATCACATGTTTTTTTTTTTTCGCAGGCAAAGCAGTGATTGAACCAGAAATGGGCAATTTTAATATTCGTCATGTATAATGTATGATGAGAGAAAAAGCTTGTGGACAACCAGAGGCCTTCAGCTTGGCGTCGTAGTGTTTCAATAACTATCAGCATGTTTTGCAGAATCATTTGCCGATCAAAACTGCCAAAAAAAGAGATAATAAAAAAAAACCAATTGAAGTCATTTATATATTTAGTGTTTTTAGTTCTGTATATTGTTTTAAGAATAATTGGCAGTAAGAAAAGAATTTTGTTGGTGAAAACTCTAATCTCAATCTTCAAGGAGATAACTCTTCATGCCATGGCTGATGCAAGGTTGCTAATGACTTATCCATTAAAGCAGAAACTGTTTGGAAAAAAAATTGTTCCAAATAAGACCATACTATACTAACAAGACCAAGTAGTTGAATAACCTCTAGATTTCGTAATTGGTGAGATTTATGTGAAGGTATAATTCTTTATGTGCAAAAATTTAGATGTCCACAACATTGAGATATGGAGGGCTTAGACCATCTGACTGGTCCATGTGCCTGTGTATGGAGTACTGAACATGTCTCAAACCTCTCAAAGCTTGTCTCTTTTAACGGGCATGAGTTAATATTGTCGGCTGAGAAGGTTTATTTGCATATCTTACTTCGGTTTTGAATTAGGAATGGACAAAGTTGGTGGCTTTGCCACCATTACGCATTACGGTGCAAGTTGGCTCTGCTGGCAATGGGAGGCACCGTATTTCCACGTCGCTGAAAGGTCATTTCTTATTTTTCAGCATTTCCATTGTGACCAAGGATTTTTGACAATCTACATAAATACTATACACGACTCACGTAGTAACCTTATCATTTTGGATTTAACTCTAAAACATATTACAGGAAGAAATTATTTTGTTAATATTCTAGTTTGTCTTTTTGTTCTAGGATAATAGTATGTTTAGAATATCTTGTCCGCAAAACAAAACTAAACTAAACTAAATTTTTATATAAACGATTTTAAAAACACGAACATTCTATATATTAATTTGATGCTCTTCAAAAAAATTTTAATAAAAATTGACAGTAAAATTCAAACTTAAAAAATCAAGGAAAAAAAAATATCTAACCATCCTACTAATCCAAAGATTTACATTCTAGTTTACATAATGACCAATCCACATCCTGACTAGCTAGTCTATATATATATATATATATATATATATATAACTCAATCAAATTACTACTTAGCATTCTCTCAAACCAAATAATTACCACTTAGAGCATCTCCAATGCTCTCTTTATATTAAGATTTTTCTTTATAATAAAGAGTTTTGATCCAAATTTCATCTCCAATGCTCTCTTTATCACAATCTTTATCTTTAAAATTAGTATAAAGAGTGTCTTTGGCTCTCCAATACTAGAGAGTCTAAATGACTCTTTATCTTATATTTTATTAATGAAAATTACTATTTCCAATGCCACTCAACCTCTTCACCAATAGTCTCTATGAGTTTTATAGATTTTGTCAAAATAAAGAGTTAAATAGAGAGTAGCATTAGAGAGGATATTGATCTTCTATCTATATAATTAATGATACTCTCTATTTACATTAAAAATGCTAGTTAAAAGTAAAGAGCACCATTGGAGATGCTCTTACCAGTTACCACAACTTTTTGTCTTGAAAAGATGAACAACTCTAATTTTGTAATAAGTACTCACAGAAACTTGCTAATTTTCCTCCTCTTAATTTACTACACAAATCATTCATAATATTGCCCTTAATGTATCTTCCCTTTTTTTTTTTTGCAGCGCTTATTCACAAAAAGACAATTATACTAATTGAAATTATTACATATTGGTGTCTGAATTTTTTGGTTTTTTCTATTATAATGTTCTAAAAAAAATTGATTTGAGCGTATGAACTTTCAATTTTTTTTTAATCTAGTATTTTTATTAAATTTATGTTAATATGACTGTTAAATTGATACGTTAGCATGCAAACTTGACCTCTGCGTGAGAATGAATATTTCACTCTATTTCTAATTGTGTATTTTTTTTTTTTTTCTATTTGAATACATGTACTTTTTTATTTGTGTATATATTTTTATTTTTTCTGTTTGAGTGTGTATACTTTTAACTGAAAATAAAAATAAAATATGATTTGTTGAAATAAAAGAAAATCAATCAGATTACTCAATTTCATCCACCCTCTCACAAATGAAACACATTTCCAATACTAATTTTGAAAGGTAAAAAAAAATTAACAAATTCACCATACACCAAAGCTTTTATATGCTCCAATTTTCAATAAAATATTTGATCTTTCATGCACACACACGTATATATTTCCCTACCAATCTCCACTAAAACCCTGCCATTTTGTAGTTATTTTGTTAGTTTTTTATTTTTTATTTTCTCACCTAGATCAACACAATTTTTTTTTTTTTTACTCTTTTTGTTACTATGTTCTTTTAATTTGAATAAATTTTTATTTGTTTTGTTGTTTTAATTTTATTTAACTTGGTTAATATATGATGTATATAAAATTACAAAGTGGATATTTATTAGATTTTAAAATTAAAAGTACATACATTCAAATAAAAAAAACAAAAATATGTATACTCAAAAAAACAAATAGATTAAAATATAGACACTCCATTAGAAACAGTTCATATTGACCTATCAATTTAACAGTTACATCAACATAAATCTAACAAAAATACTTAATTAGAAAAAAAATTATAAATTTATCACAATCAAATAGAAAAAAATTGAAAAAAGTTCTTACACCAACTATGTAATAATTTCAAATAAATTAATTGAATCAAAGGGTTAGCACTGCACTGAAAGAACTTTTGGCATCTAATGATGGCTATGACCATGAAATCTACAGTGCTCGGTGTTTAAATCTGATAGCTGCGTTAAGCAAGGTGCTTTCACTTTGGTTTTTGAGAACAAAATAGCATCAGAATATTTTTCTTATATAATACTAAAAAGCATCATCCAGGATAACATCACCTCAACTATTTGGCAGTATCAGATATGTATTCCCTCAATTTTTGGATTGATATATCATATTCTAGCACATCCCTCGTGCATTGAACCAACTTTTCTGATACATATATTAAGGTGTACATGCGTGTCTTATTTCAAGTAAATGAAAGTAAAAATGCAAAACTTAATTTGACGAAAAGTTGGAGTTTGATCCTACACCTTTGACAACAACAAAGCTTTTCCTTCAGGAAAGACAAAGTAAGACTTCCATAACCAAGATAGCATTAACCTATTATTCCTCTGTATCAAATAAACAAAAGAGCATCACAAACACCATTAAACCTGCAAATACTTGATGGCAGTTTGAACATCTTTATCCCCTCTGCCACTGCAGTTAAGAACCACCTTCGTTCCGGCTGGGAGAGTGGGGCAGAGCTTCTCCAAATAAGCCAGTGCATGTGATGTCTCCAAAGCAGGGATTATGCCCTCTAATCTTGATAATCTCTTGAATGCTGCACATGAAGATTAAAAAACTAATTAATAAGAGAGAAAGGGCATTTATAACTTTTTGTCATCTCAATGACAAGACATCCAGTTATATTAGGGAAACGTAGTTTACAAAGAGAATCAAAAGGCAGTAATGAAAATCAAACATGTAAAATCTTGAAAGCCTGAAAATGGAGCAAACAAAAAATCTCAATAGGATGTCCATACCATGCAATGCTTCTTCATCTGTGACATTGTAGTATTCAGCACGTCCTTTATCTTTCAGGAAACTGTGCTCGGGTCCAACTCCAGGGTAGTCCAACCTATGCAAGACAATGATAATGTATAAGTACAGGAAAAAACGTGATAATACGAGCCACACAAAACCAATCCAAAAAGTCTACTAGAAGTCTTACCCTGCACTAATAGAATGAGGCTCAATTATTTGCCCATCTTCATCTTGTAACAAATAGCTCATAGCTCCATGCAACACCCCCACTTCTCCTTTGGTCAGAGTGGCAGCATGCTTGCCGCTATCTATGCCTAAACCTGCAGCCTCCACACCAATCAACCTAACATCCTCGTCTTTAATGAATTCATCAAAGAGTCCCATTGCATTTGAACCACCACCAACACATGCAACCAGCACATCTGGCTTCCCACCCCATTTTTCCAGTGCTTGTTTTCTTGTTTCTACACCAATAACCCTATGGAACTCCCGCACCATCATGGGAAAAGGATGCGGCCCAGCAACAGATCCCAAAATATAATGGGTTGTCTCTACATTAGTCACCCAATCTCGTATAGCTTCTGATGTAGCATCTTTCAAGGTTGCAGTGCCGGAATGAACTCCTCTCACCTCAGCCCCAAGAAGACGCATCCTGAAAACATTAAGTGCTTGTCTTTCCATATCTTGTGCGCCCATATAAACAACACATGGAAGACCGAACCGTGCACAAACGGTAGCAGTTGCAACTCCATGCTGACCAGCTCCAGTTTCAGCAATAATGCGCTGCTTTCCCAAACGCTTTGCAAGCAACACTTGGCCAACAGCATTATTAATCTTATGAGCACCTGTGTGGTTAAGATCTTCCCTCTTGAGATAAATATGCGGCCCTTCACCATTAGGACGCTTGTAATGCTCTGTAAGCCGCTCAGCAAAATAAAGAGGACTTTCCCTTCCAACGTAATCTTTCAAAATCCCATCTAGCTCTTTCTGCAATACAAAAAAAAATCATTTCATAAATTTTATTCAAATTAATAGAAATAGTGGAACTACAATTATCTAATCTTGCACATACACCACCTCTCTCGCTATATGAGACCATTTATACTGACTACTCACATAGAAGAAAATCACTAGCAATACCGTTGCACCGAAAATGAAATAACCATTCTTTTCCAGCAAAATTGAATAAGCCCTGAAATGCAATATATTTAAAGATGCCAAGGTATGTATAGGTTGGCAGAGATACCTTAAATTCAGGGTCATCTTTCAAGGAATGGAAAGCAGATTCGAGCTCAGTGAGAGCATACATAAGAGTTTCAGGTACATATTTTCCGCCAAATTTACCAAACCGACCAAAAGAATCTGGTCGTTTCCATTGGCTCGGGTCAGAATCCGCCACTTCCTCCATTTCAACCGCAGCCTCTGTGGCCAAGGTGCAAGAAATTGCGAACCTTGATGGTGCGCGAGATGTCGTAAATTTGGTGAATTTGAAGGGCAATTGGGAAGAAGAGTAGGGTTTGAGGAGAGAAGAAGAAGAAGATTGGAGTTTGGTTGCTGCAGTTGTTGCTGCTGCTGTGGTTATGGATGCTGCGGTGGTGGCTGCCATTAGGGATCTTAACCGATGATGCCTTGATGGGTTGTATTGCATTTGGAGTGAGATTTATATTTTATAGTTTGGACATGAGTACACGTGGGATTTCGTTGGTTAGTGGATGAGACAGGTTAGAGTAAATTATAAATTAGTCCCTCTATTTTTTTTATAAACGATTAATTAATTTTTTAAAAAAACAATTATTTATTCATTTTTTAAATCTGTTGTGACATTGCTAAATATTAGTAGTAATTTTTTTTTTATCAACCCTTCCATATTTTTTATATTTTATATCCTAAAGAGACTCTTTTCTTTATTTTTCACATAAATTAAAAAGGTTATTAATTATTTTTTATCATATTAGTATTTTTTTTACTTTTCTAAAAAACTTTAAAACTTATATTTATGTTATGAAACAATGAATGTTTATTCTCAGAACTATATATATTTTTTAATGTAATCTAATCCATCATTATCATACTTGAATATATTTAATGAAGGATAATATTTACCGATAAATAGGTTTGTTAAGTAAAAAATAGTATAATTTACTTTTCTATTATATTTCTCTCATTATTTTATTTTTATTATTAGTTTTTTGATAATTTAAATAGCTTTTTAAAAAATAAATTTTAATTAGGGGTATTTTAAACATATATATATATATATATATATATATATATATATATATATATATATATATATATATATATATATATATATATCTTAAACTTTTGACCATATATGTATTTTAAAAAGATAGACAATCTCTTTGAGATTAAAAAAGTATTTTTTTTATCTTTTTATATTTATTAAGATAAAAAAAATTAAAAAAAATTAAAAATGAGCAAAAAGGATTAAGTTGTGAGAAAATTTAAAGATATAGGGACTGAATAATTAGTTTTTGAAAAAAAAACTAAGTAATTATTTCTCAAAACTAGAAGGACTATTTTGTAATTTACTCGACAGATTGCGAGGTTGCAAATGATTCTGTCCTTGTGGTGACGTGGAAGATTATAGACACTGACGTATGATTGCCCTTTTGAGAAACTGCCTCTTAAAAAAGAAATATTTATGGGTGATTAAGATTTAAGATTTCCTCTGATTGCAGCAATTAAAAAATTGTGGCACAAGTTAACCCAAAATCTTTTATTAGTTGGGACTGAAGACATTTTAGATTTCGTACAAGGATATTGTTTTCATAATCTTATTTTTCACGCATATATGATTAAATTTCCATTTGATATGTTGATTCTAAAGATAAAAATAAAAAAAAATCCATTCAATAATTTTTTTTAATTAATATTCTATTCTTGATTTAGTGGATCTAATTAATGATTTTTATTTTTGGTATTGTTAGGAAAGGAATGAACATTTTATGATGGTTGTTTTACTTATCAGAATATTAAAAAAATATAAGTGTGAAAATATTTAATAGATATATAATGTTGGTAAAGATATTTTTCATGTTAATTTTCTTTCATCATAAAGAAATATTATGCTTATCTAAAAAATTAGTAGTAATAAATTGGCTATATTTTATACAAGAAATTTAACGGATAGATAAGATTTTTTGTAATTAAATTGATAGCAAATTCAATGAATTTATCATCATCTTATCCTCTTATCTTTTATCTGTTGCGTATGCTATATACAACGAACTATTAAAATTTCTTAATTTCGATAAGGAGCAAGATTTTGGAAAAGTACAAAGCTTTTGTTTGCTAGTTTTTTATTTCCCGTCCATAAGGATATGTTGAATTTTTTTATCATATTTTTTTAATAGATTTAATATATCATAAAATCATGAATTTAACATTTTTTAAATTATTTTAGCATATTTTTTTTAAAGTTAGACAGAAAATACAAGCATATTCTTTTAAAGTTGAACAGAAAATGCAAGAACTAAGTTTTTAATAACCATATTAACACGTAAGAATTTTTTTAATCAATGTTTCGATTTCGGATGATGCGGCGTAAGAAATAAATAGACAGTAAAAATAAAACGTCATATGAGATTTCAAGTGGTTAAAAATTAAAATTCTTTTCGATTTGGATCACGTGTGTTTCACTTTTAATTGAATCTCAATCTCAACTCTATAAAACCCCAAAACACAAAATTAAATCAAATCATTAAAATCTCTAGTCCCTTTCTCTACAAAATCTCTCTCCCCACCAACCTTGAACCATTTCATTTATCCTCACTGAAATTCAAAACCAAAACCTAATCTTCTTCTTTGCCTCCATGAACCCCTACCCCTCTCTCTTCCTGTAAGAAACTTCAATCCCTCCATCTGATGCCAAAAACCCAGACTGACTTAAACTCCCGAATCGGATTTTTTATAATAACATGGAAATATTATAATCTAATGGTACAGTCTAGCTTAGAAATGATTTTTTTTTTTTAATATGTATATATAGTAAGATATCTTTTATTTAATTGAAACTAAATTTATTATTTTTTAAAATAAGTCAATGATAGATAACGTTTAACTTTTATTTATTATTATTATTTTTATTTTTTTTTTTGTTACAAATTTCGTTCGAGAAAGCATGTATTTTTATACTATTTTGTTCTTTAATTGTTTATGCATGTGATGGTTAAGATGAAGATAAAAGGCTATTGAAGAAGATATAGTGACCATGATAAAGGTAGGCCCAGCTCAAGTTACATGAAGCAAAATCCATGAAACTCGGGTTCAAGCCTTAAGCCCAATCATATGGCCCATGTAAATTAAACAATTAACGCTTTTGTATCCATTATGAACATTGGAGAGCCATTCTGTGCTCATAGACTGGATTCTCTTTGGAAACCCAGTTTTGGAATTCAAGCCCATTCATGCAATTCAATCCTTCTTTTATTATACCGATGCAATTCAGTCCTTGATAAATGACAACAATGCAATCCTTTCCCTATTTAAAACGAGTATATAAACAAGTTATTATTATTCAGCGTCACTTTCTCATGCTCGGATCGTTTTTCTCCTTTTAATGTGAGGACAGTCATGACTTTTTGTATTAATAAATACTTCTAAAATGCGAACTAGAAAGTTTATGGATTAATTATTGTAGAGGTTTTTTTATTCTTTTTTTTGTTTCTTCTGTTTTTTTTTTTCGTTTTAAGTCATCTCTGGATTTGATTTCTATTTTAATTTTTTCTATCAATTAACTTTATAGGCTAGCGGTATTAATCACACCATTAGTCCCACATGCTTGAGATATTTGTCAACTTGTTTTTTCTTTTTAATCTTATACCTCTATTATTTTTATAGAATTTATATAATATATATATATCTGATTATTCTATCTAAAAACTTAATAAAAAAAGAAAAGAAAAAAAGTGTAGATAAAAATATTTCTATCCAAAACTGTTTTATATTTTGTTACAAAAATTTGTGAATTTGACTCAAAAGTTATAATATAATTTTTTGTATTGTTTTTACTCGACACCCTTGTTAAGATTGAACACAAAATTTCTATTCCTAAAAAGATCTCAACAAAATTTATATTTATATTTTTGAATCAAAATAAGAAATTTATAAATCAAAATTAGTAAATTATAACATACTCTTTTAAGGTATTATAAATATTATTCAAAGGATTATGAATTTAACTAAAACTCTTTAAAAACTAAAAAGCTTGTAGTCTAGTGGTAATGGTTTCTTGTAACAAGAGGTCATGGGTTCAAATCCTAACATACTAGTCCTATTAAGAGCATTGAGTGTGTGAGTAAAAAATAAAAACTAAAACTCTTTAAAAAAATCTATGAATATTTTGTCTTATACTCAAATTTTGTTTATTGTTGTATAAATAAATTTAAACTCATAGATGATATTTTGAATAAAAAAAATATTTTTATCTTCACTTTTTCAGTTTTTAAGAGAATGACTAGATATATCTTTAATTTTTTTTCAAAATTCATTTATTTAAATTTGGTGATAGAGAAAGAGAAAGAGAGAGAAAGAAAAAACAAATTGATACGTGTTGTAATCTTATGAGCTAACGATGTGATTTAATATTGTTAGTAAAAAAAAAATGAAATGATGAGATTCGGATAGAAATTAAACGTATGTAGATAAACGAACTTAAACAAAAAAAATAATAATAATAAAAGAACACAATAAAGACGAAAGAGGAGTTAAAAGATCATTGTAGCCATTAATCCAAAAGTTTATAAAACAGATCATTACCTACAATTTTTAGGATCATTCTAATAATTTTGTATATATTATTTTCATTTATTTCTAGTTGCTAAATTGATGAAAAGTGGCATTTCAAAACTAAAAATAATAAAAGAAATGCACATTTTGTTTTTATAAAATGAGATTATTGATCAATTTATTCTTGTATTTTTAATTACTAATTATAGTCTCATAAAATAAGTGAGTTTCCAATATGTCATTGTAATGATTTTTTTGGAACAAACTATTAGAATTAGTTAAGTGATATACACATGAATTAATATTATGATGACAGTGATATTGAGATAAAACAAAAATTATCCTAACTTGTCTTTATATATTAGACTCAATATCCAATATGTCATCGAGGTATTGTTTGGAACAAAAGATAGAATTGTGGGAATAAAAATAAAAATTTTATTTATATTTTATATTTATTTATTTTAGATAAATCAAGTGGGAATAAGAATAAAAATAAAAGTTAAACATAGTTCATTCCCATAGAGAGAGGTAGGAATCAAAATTAAAAACATAAATGATATTTTTTCTCTCTTTAAAATAATAATAAATTATTTTTATTTATTGCATATTAACTATTGCATCACCACTAATACCTTCGTTGGCATTGGTTTTGAAAATTTTATTTTTATTATTATTCTACTACGACTCTTATGGTGATGACATCAAGTTTTTTTTTAAAAATGTATTTTTGTTATTACATACTGCTATTACGACTAGCATTAGCTTTTCATCCTCCACCATTATCATCATAATCACCTTCATTGTTTTCACTATCATAATAATTGATGATTTTTTTTTCAAATATTACTTTTATTCATCTTAGAAATTAGATATTAAAAATTTTAAGTTTAATTATGATTCTTTAATTTTTATTTTGATTTTTGCATTTTCATTATTAGCTTTTCATTTACAGTAACCAAATGATACCTAAAAGTTCATTTTTTCTCAATATGTCCTTATATTTTATATCATTCTAGCAGATATTTCTATGCACCCTACCAAAGATTCAAAAAAAAAAAAAAAAAAACTACAATTTGGTGCTAATGTTTGATTTTATTTTGTTTGAGTGCTTAATGTTTTATTCTACTTATTTTAGTGTCTAATTTTTATTTTATTTTTTTCTATTTGAGTTTCTTTCGACAAGTGATTTAAAAAATATTGGCGTGACTAGGATCAACTAATGTGACAGTCTTTAATTAATACGTAAATAAAGAGTCACAATCGTATTTAATGGGCAAAAAAATTATAAAAAAATACGTACGGGAAATTAAAATAAAAAAAGTAAAAAAGTTGAAAATAAAACCTTGAATTGGAGGGAAAACTCCATTATATATATATATATATATATATATATATATATATATATATATATATATTATGTTTCTCTATAAATACAAGTGGGATCCATTTTTGTTACGTATGATTTGATGTCGATCCCATCAGTATTTTCAAAGTTCAGGTGACAGAGAGAACTCAAATAAAATAAAAATAAAAAATTGGGTACTTAAATAAATAAAATAAAAGGTTAGGCACTCAAACATAATTAAGATCAAAGATTGGACATCTAAATTATAGTTTTTTCTATCGAAAATATATTTAGTTGACAAACTAAAATCTCACATAATTTATTATCAAAAATTAAATTTGAACAGAATATAAATTGTCATGTGGTGTTAAAACTTTCTCCTTTTTTTCATGATTTTTTTTTTAAAAAAATAGGTTTGGTTTGAGTTTCCCACCTGAGCATATTTTTATCAATTTACACGAGAATATCTAATAAAAAAATAAATTTAAAAAATTATATTCGTGATAAAATTGAGATTTAGGCTTAAAATATAAAGAAAGTTGGACTAATTCTCTTTCTACCTCAAGATCAGTTTTGATATAATATTAACTCATATGCATATTATACGACTAGCTCTGATTGTTTTGTCAAAAAATCATTAAAAAAAATAGATTAGAAACTCATTTATTTTACAAAGAAATAATTGATTTAATCAAAGATATAAGGATAATTTCGATAATGATTTCATTACATAAGAACAAACTCTACCATTTCTCTCAGTATTTAATTGGAAAATTTAAACGCAAAATGTTGGAATATAATCTTTGGATCTAGGTGGTATCCAAAACCACAACAAGATGCAAGTTGCCACCGTGTAAATATTATTTTTAAATAGATGTTTAATATCATGAACACTGTTAAGAAGTGATTAGCATTTAATTCCGAAAACATGGTGTTTATTTTATAAGATTATGTATTTTTTTCTTATGATTTTACCAATTTAACAGCTAACCTTTTCTTTTTTCCACATTTAATTTAACTAAAATAAATATTGTTGTTATTCTCACTCTAACATTGTTGATTAACCAAAATAATCTATTTTTGTATTTCTTTTCAATTAATAGAAGCTTATAATATAAAAATCCATAAAAACCCTCCTACAACTATCAAACTATATATTAAAAAAGAGTATTAGATTAATAAACTAAAAATTTACAAGTAATTTTAGATTTTTTTAGAAAGAAAATAGTTTTGGCCCAAATCATTACTAAAAAGATGCCATGAGATTTTTCACTTCTTTGTCTCTCCCAAAATTTCCACTTCTCTCTTTCAATGAAGGAAGGGACAAAAAACGGAAATGAACAAAATGCAGGGACTGAAATGAAACCACAATCTAGCTTTTACTTATCGAACCGGTAACTAGTGGGAAAAAGAAGGGAAAACCCTATCATTCGAGTCGTTCACCGTCTCTGGAAGATGACTGTATAGCGCCAACTGCCAAGTGTTAGCAACTCGCTCTCTCTCAGACTCAGTCTGTATTGCTTTTCCTTTCTTCGCTCAAAATTTTAGGTTTTAAGTGAGGTTTAGCGTTATTGTCCGCTGAAATTCAAAAATCAGTGGCTATGGGGCGCAATTTATCCCAATCTCCAGTCAGGGATAGACATAGAAGCTCTCATAGAGGTAGAGATAGAGATGCTTCTCCAGTAAGAGAGAAGCAACGGTCAAGCCGCAATAACAATAAATCTCCGAGGAAGCGGGAGATGTCTCGTTCTCCATCTCCTCTTCCTCCTCCTCCTCCTCCAGCAAGACACAGGAGCTCTCAAAAGGACCGGTCTCCGGTGGAAAAAGAGAGAAATTCATATCGCCCGAGGTCTCTTTCTCCAAGGACTAAAAGATTAAGGAGAGCCCAAGATGAGAAAGAGGGTGAAAAAACGAGGGATGGAGAGATTGAGAGGAATCATGAGAAGAAGGGAAGCGAGAAGGGTGGCACGCGAAGGGGAAGAGAGGGTGACAGAGAAGATTATGAAAGGAATCATGGAAAGGGAAGCGATAGGGGTTCGCGAAGGGAGAGGGAGGGTGAGAGAGAAGTGGAGAGGAATCACAGAGAAAGAGGAGAGAGCGAAGTTGGGAAGGAGAAAAGGTCAGGGAGGGATGAGATTGAAGGAAAGTCTTCTTCCAGAGGAAGGCGTGGGGGACGGTCTACTTCACCATTGGAATCAGACCGTCGCAACAGGAGCAAACAAAGGTCTCGATCGCCGCCGTCTCATTCAGATAGAGACCGCAATGAGGTGTCTGGTGATATCCACTCCTAACAACGCTTTGGTCTAAACATAATTTTGATTCAATCATCTTATTATTTTGTTGTTTGTGGTTAAAAATTGTTTGCTTTTGCAATGTTTCTGATAAATGCAGGCTAATTCATGTTGTTTTACTGTTGTCAATTTAATAAATTTGGATGTGATTTGTGTATTGGGTTTTGATAAAGGGTGTTGCTAAATCCACCATATGTTTTATTATTTTCACCAATTTTTTATTTTAAATTACTAACAAACCCTTACATCTAATGACTATTTAGTCACTAACTTGATGTGTGGTGGTGTGTTGGTAATTTACAATAAAAAATTTGGTGAGAATAACAAAATATTTGGTGGATTTAGCAATACCCTTTGATAAATTCTTAGCTTTTTGATAAGGGACGTGTTGTTTGTAAGGATTTTGAGGTTGGATTAACTTGATTCGAAAGTTGAAACTATGTGATGGTGTTTTTCTTTTTAAGTGGCTATTTGGATATTTGGTCAATGTAGTGTTGTTTATTGGATTTTGATATATTACTCTATGAAAATTTTGGAAAATTGGTAGTACTAAAAGCTGATAACTTTTAGAAATACCTGTATTCATTTTCCATCGTTAACTTACTGTTTCCACCATGCATATGAACTTCAAATCATTAAGTTTAATATCAATTCCATAAAAAAAACCCTACCAAACTCCTTAATCTCTCATTTTAGACCATAAAATCTGCTCCTTTGCCTCTTCTCTTAACTGCGTTAATACATAGCATAAGCCAAAGCAGTATCTATTGGCCACATTATAATGGACAAAGTCCTAACTGTGGAAATTGCAAGAGCACAAAGAATCTCAATAGAAACCTCTAGTATGTTTTGCTAGAAAATCAAGGCCCTGAATCATTTTGGCCAGAAGTTTTAAAATCCTTTTCTTGAACGAAAAAAGTCTTGTGGATTATGCATATTTTTCTAAGATATCAATCTTTGGTGGATCTTTAGAGTTGCCTCTCCTTAAAAGATTCTTAAATGAAATGCTGATGAGAAAAAATAATTATTTCAGGGGACAAACTCAAGGGATGCTGAACAAAGGTAGGCTTCTTCTACTTTTCTTATTATTATGTTTGGACTGGAACATTGGTAACATGCCTCTACTGTGGAAATGGTATTTAGAAACACCTAATAATAATGAGCCAAATTGTCGTACTTAAATTTGTTAGAAAGAGCACCACGTTGAGGAAGCATTAGTTTTCTCATGTTTTTGGGGATCAAAAGCCTAGCAAAATAGATCATTTGATGATACCTGGTAATAATTAGCCAAATTTTCCAACACAAATACATTTGTTAGAAAGAGCACCAGGCTGAGGAAGCATTAGTTTTCTGATGTTTTTGGGGATTAAAGCCTAGCAAAATAGGTCAATTGATGATATGTGATTTCACCAACATAATAGACTGGATATTGCTATTTTGAAGGTGATACATTATTTACAATAAAAAAGAAAATCACCCCCCCCCCCCCCCCGCCCCCCAACAAACAAATTAAAAAAAGGTATATTTGATTGAAGAAACGAGTTTTTTCTAGTCATTCTTGGTTGTTGAATAAAGATTATAAGACAATGATCTAAGCATGTTATTGCATATCCATTGCTTAGGATTAGCGCTTTTTTTTTTCCTCATCTGATAATATTGAGGATCCTTTGCGTCTGCTACGTTAAGCTTTTATGTAGCTTCTATTTAGGGGTTCCTTGCTTACGTGTGCAGGAACGATGATGATGACAATTATGATGATTCTGTGGCTAAGATGAAGGCTGCAGAGGAGGCTTTGGAAGCCAAGAAGAAGGTAGGAACAACTTGTGTGTGGTTGGTTTACTTTCTTGTGGTTAATGTTCCGCATTAAGTTAGTGAACATACTTTTGTTTGGCTATAAGATAGATCTTTATTTTGTCTAGCTAATGACCTTAGTCGTGACCGTTATCATTGCAACTTGCAGCAACAACCTTCTTTTGAGCTATCTGGAAAGCTCGCTGCCGAAACCAATAGAGTCAGAGGTGGGTGATATGTACATTGCTTTTAGTTCTACTGAGAGAATTTCCCTTTTTCTTCTTCTTTTTTTTTTTAAAAAAAAACTTGATAGTTCTGTTGAATCTCTCCCTCTCTCTCACCTCTTTTATTCAGATCTGGTGGCAAGTTAGAAGTTGTTTGGCATCTTTGGCATTTTTTTTCATGCAATTGCTTTACACATTTTGACATATATGCACCATTTTCTGGTCAATTTAGTTGAATCCATGCAGAGTTACTCAGTTATTTTGTCATTTGAAAAATAGTTGAGGCAGTTTCACAGCATTTGGGAGGCAAGAAAAAAACAGTAGATTCCCTTAAGCAACATATAGGCGATACCTTTTCAAATTACATCCCTACGAGAGAAAGAATTAGGCATGGGCGCCCTAGGCTTCTTGATTAATGTTGAATTTAATCTGCATAAGCAGGGTTTCAAATTGCCAAAACATGTTTTGTCGTTGCTTTCTTTCTTTGGTTTGTGCCTGCTGTGAAAAACTTTACTAACACACGTTTTGCACACTTTCCTTTCTCATATTCACTCATGCTATTTGGTTTTTCATTTTCTAGGCGTTACATTGCTGTTCACCGAGCCCCCAGATGCTAAGAAACCTAATGTAAGATGGCGACTTTATGTTTTTAAGGGTGGCGAGGCTCTGAATGGTAAGTCCTGCATGTATGGCATATTGTATATGTTCCTGTAAGATATCGAAATCCATAAATCAGACATTATCCATTGTCTTCTCAAATCATGCAATTTTACTCCATTGGTAAATTATAATATGTCTGCCTTGGTTTGATGCTGGTTTATGAGATTGTATAATTGAAACAAATTTAATTTATTAGGCATTATAATTCAGGTTACATTTCAATACACGTATAAGGTGCCAGGATACAGGTCAGGAGTGGAACTTTTGGTTGAAGTCTTAAAGCTTTCACTTCATAAGGGGAAAATTTTCTTTGAAGTCTTGGGTTCCATTACTTCTTTTGTTTTCCTGATAATTTCTTTCCTTGGTTCTTAGGGACGGAACTGTGCTTTAGTATGAGGGGGCCATGGCACCCCAAATTTTTAGAAATTTTACATTTTAGTCTTACAATTTTGAAGATTTTTAGTTCTACTTCTCAACTTAAAGGCTTATTTCATAGGAATACATGTTTTGCACCCCAAACAATCATGTATTATTAATATGGATTTTCCTTTATTTAATTTTCAAGCGTACTCTGATAGTTTTGATAATGCGCCCTGCTCCCATTCCAAAGATTCTAGTTCTCCCCCTGCTAGTTGTCCTCGAAAAGCTCTTTAAAGTACTTTGTTGTTCTCAAAGCAAGTGTATAAACTGTTATTTTCCAATCTAAACAAAATAAGTTTTTTCCTCTGAAAAGAGTACAGAGCCTTTAGGCCTTTTCTGAAAGGAGTCAATAGTCAATTGATGCTGGACACCTTGGGGGCTGTTCTGAATCTGATTTTTGGATGCTGGTTAGGGTTGTATTGAAGTAGGTTTCTGCTGGAATATAAGGAAATAAATTGGTAGATTTCTAGGAGTCCCACCTAGGGTTACAATCAAAGCAAATTGCTGGAAATTATTTGATATTATTACATTCAAAATATTAAAAGACTACATTCTGTATTTATAGAGTTGTAGACGTCCAAATCCTATTAGGATAAGGATTCCTAAACCTTCATCATAACTATTCTTATTTAGAATGGGAAAACCTATAATTATTCCTATTTTAGAATAGGAAGACCTAATGACTTTAGGGCTAAGAAAATAAAATACTAAACAGAAATAAAGCCTAGACCTAAACAATTTCCAGATTTTCCAACAAACCTGAAAATTACTAAAATACCCTTGCATTCTAAAATTTACATAAAACACATAAATCTTAGTCTTTTGTCATCTGCATCATCAATTAATTTCCTTCTGTTTTTACTGGAGTTTTTCTGTACTTGGTGGTCTTGACATTGCCTGTGTATTTATTTATTTATGCTCAATCCTTGTTCAAAATGGAATTTCTGATTATGGAAGAAATCTTTTAACTTGCCCTCTGGCCGATGTTTATGTTTCTTACAAGTGTATTGCTAAACAGAACCCCTTTACATACATCGTCAAAGCTGTTACCTTTTTGGGAGAGAAAGGAGGGTGGCAGATATTCCTACTGACCATCCATCATGCAGCAAGCAACACGCTGTTATTCAATTCCGGTAGATCTAAAATTAGCAGTTTAATTTTTCTTCTTTGCTTTTTGAGGACATTTTTGTTAATTCTTGTTTCTGGTTGTTAGGCAAGTAGAAAAGGAGCAACCTGATGGTATGTTACAAAAGCAAGTAAGGTAAGAATCACTGTGTCATGACCATTTTCATTGATTGATGGCAATTTATCATATCTCCATGTCTAACTTTGTCTTTTCTGTATGCCATTGACAGGCCATACGTCATGGACCTTGGAAGCACAAATAAAACTTTCATTAATGTGAGCAATATCTCTTGATATCCGGTTACCATATATTGAGCTCTTCTCTTATTTATTGTTGTGATTGAATCTAAAATTTCGTCTGTATTTGCAGGATAATCCCATTGAACCCCAGCGTTATTATGAACTATTTGAGAAGGACACAATTAAATTTGGTAATAGTAGGTAGGCCACCAATCAAAATGCAACATCTATTTTAATTGCATGAATCATGCTAAACTTTCCTTGCCTCTCCACTTATTATACTGGCTAAAGTTTTTCTTTGGTATGCATACAATATACGATTTGTCTGTGATTTGGTTGTGCTCATCTCTGTGGGCATTTAGGTCTGCTTTTTCTTGTTCCGCAAAAGCTATTGGGAAACTGAGTGGCATGCCATTGTCTCTGATTCTAAAATTGAGGCTGTGATTTTTTTCTTTCTTTGAAGTTTATATATCTGAAATAGCTTCAATCTGGTCATATATTGGCTATTTCATCATATCTTTTATAAGTAAATCTCAGAAATTTTTTGCCTTGCCATTTATATACATCAAAACTCTCTTTGTTTGGTTTGAAGACAAACTTTGAATCATCTGAATGTTGCGCAATATAGTATTAGTAACAGCCTCATCGTTTCCTGCGGTACAAATCAAAGTCGGAAGCAAACAAATGTTATGCATTATTAAGTTGCATTTTGATGCGTGAAACACTATTTCGTTCTTCAGATATGTTTTGAGCAGTTAGTGCCATTTTCATGTGCATGCTTGTATCTTTGACATGGGTGAGCTAGGCATGAATTGTGTACCAATATTTCTGGGTTTGGTAATGCCATGTGACTAGTGTCATATAGAGATTAATTCAATTGGCAAGTTGCCATTTTATTTCATCTGTTCTATTCTTGACCAAACATGAAATGCTTCACATTGACATGAATAATTGAAGAATCCCGAATGATTTTTTCCCATACCTTTAATGTCACTCATTGGAAATAATGTACACGTCCTTTTTTTTTTTTTTGCAGCCGAGAATATGTACTATTGCACGAGAACTCAGCAGAATGATTTTCGTTAAGTGGCTTCTCCAGTGTGATTTTCTGACATGAGCATTCTGGAGGATCAAGAGCATTTTGTTTTTCAATTGGAAGTTTATTCTGATAAGCAGGAGACCTTGTAGTAGTTCTTATTTTGCATCATCTGGGAATTGGGGAGGTCTTTTATCGAATGCGAGAACTCAATTGGTTTAAACTGATCTGTTTCATACTTTCCTCATGCTTGCTCTTGCCAAGGCTTATGAGGTCTGTTTATGGTAGTTTTTATGCCGATTGGGGTTCGTGGCCATTCCATTCATTTGACTAATTAATCTTATGGAACAGCAATCTGTTCTTTAAATTCATTTATTTGGATTGAAAAAAATACCCAAGTCAGTCAGCAAAATAGATTAAAGTTTTGGTACGTATGTCGCCCAGTTCTATGTGAGCATCCTAATACATGGCTGTTAGCCCATTGTGCAATGAAATCTTCGAATAAATCTATGGCCATTGTCAAAGTTTATTTAGAAAGTAACAAAACGAAGCAAGGCTAGGAAGTCATGAAGGGTCAGGAACATCATTTAATACAACAGTTCCTTCTGCACTGTTACATTGAATGCTGCCTGTAAAATCAGTTGCCACTTCGAACTTCGATATTTTATAATCTTCTCCGTTTCTGTTTTCCTTTTCAAGTGCGTCAATCCTCTGGGTTCTGGTATTGAATTAGTTTTTGAAGCAAAACTCAAGAAAGTTATGTCAGCTGAAATTATGCCCTCTAATTCTACTCAATCAGCAATTCTGACTGTGAAGTTCTTCTGTAGAAGAAATTAATGAACACATACGTTTAAGCCTTCTTAACAAGGTAGCAAATATAGTGCTGGAGTGCAGCCAAACATTAGCCATTACAACACCGAGAAGATTACTGTTCCAACAAAGCAACAATTAATTTTTTTTTTTTTTTCATTTTTCTTGTAGTCATTTAAAAAAATTACAGCAAGTTGATGATGAGTAATTTGGTGTAAAACCATGTTTAACTCTTAAATTATCCTCAGTTTTTCTACACTGGTTCTGTCATTACAACTCGAGCCGATAAGGCGCCGATGATAGCTTTCTTTTCTTTCTTCTCATATTTGGCAACATATTGAATTTTTTTTCAGTGAATTTTGAGAGGTACCTATTATGAGTGAAACTGAATCACTCGGAAATGTAGGTCCGTCAGAATCTGTTCTTTAAGAATTAGATACATTAACAGTCATTAGTTCTTCCTGCTTCTTGATGCAACACAGCAGTTAGTTCTTGGTCGTGTGTTCTTCCCATTTTCCCAATCCTATTCCTTATAATCCCTTTTCCCTTGCTTAATTTTGCAGTTAAGGGTGGTTTTCCCTTTCTGTTTTTCTTTTTTCTGAACAGGCAGACACAACCTTTCACAGGAAACCAATAACTGCATTTCTTCACTATAAAAAACCTGTGCAACTGCCTCTTGAGATTCTCAGACAAAGCCTTTCGTGATCATGGACAGAAAGACAGACATGTTCTTAAGCCTGCCAAAAAATCTACTCATAATCATTGCAAGTTTCCTGTCGTTCAAAGAAGCTGCTAGGACATGCATCTTGTCCAAACAGTGGCTTGACATTTGGCGCAATGCAATGAACATTGATTTCAATGAGAACTTTTTTGTTAAACATCATGAACCTGAAGAGAATCGAAAAGTTCAACGAGAAGCTTTCATCAACTTTGCTCGGCAGTTTATTGCAAACTATTCGGAAGAGTTTGTCAAAACACTTGCACTCAAATGTTCAAAGCCAGGGGATTTCCTTGATGATATGCAAAACATTATCATGTTTGCAATTTCTTGTAATGTGAAAAAATTACGGCTAGATTTCTCAGATCCTACATGGAGAGAGGAGGAAACTGAGAATCACGAAGCAGTATTTGATTTGCCTTTGCAAGCTTATGAATCTGGCCAGGCTCTTGAGTCCTTGAGTTTGTTTTCCTGCAGTTTTGATGCGTCTAAGTTCACTAATTTTAGTGCAATAAAGAGTCTTTCTCTGGGATGGATTAGAATAAGCATGGGATCTATTTTGGCTATATTGAAGAGTTGTCCATTGTTAGAGAGTTTGAGTCTAAAGAAATGTTGGGACTTAGAATACTTTGATGTATCTATACCAGATCTGAGGCTACAAAGTTTGGTCCTTGACAAGTGCGATTTTGGGGATGATTGGTTGTCAATTGAGGGGCCAAAATTTCATTACTTTGAGTACTCAGGAAAATTGGGTCAATTTCACTTGGAGAATCAAAGTGCTCTTGTAGAGGCTAAACTTGATTTTGGGATGCAGACTGAATTTGAAGAAGTTGGCGTATATCTTTATGATCTCTTACAGGAGCTTTTTGCTGCTACAACTTTGACTGTCTGCAGTGTCTTCTTACAGGTATAGATCCTTACAATAATTATTGTTGTTATTGTTTTTTGCATTAATTGAAACCATTTGCCTTGTGACTTTTATGCTGCCTCATGTTGGGACAGAGGTTGTCATCAGTTTCGTTTAGGAATCCCCATTTCTTGCAAAAATTTCTTGTCTTAAAATTGCCTTACTTTTTTGTAGTCTTGATTTCATAATATTATTTGTGAAATGAAAAAAGAAAAAAAGATAGACAGAACTTTTTATATCTGATTTAATCTTATGCCATGCGTTTTACTACTTCATTTACATGTTGTGATCAGATTTTGAAGTTAGGATTTGTAGTGCAGTCACTAAATATCATATGATGTTGCCTAAACTATTTGGCGACAATATTGTTTCACTCCAAAAATTTAGAGATTATTTTATATTTCTTGTTTTTTAAAAACTAAATTTGAAAATAGAAAAAAAAATCTTGTTTATTTTTTGTTTTTGTTTCTAAAACGTAAAATACCAACAATCTATTATCAAAATTTCTTCAAACCAAACAAAGTAGTTTTCAAAAATTTAATTTCATATAGTTTTCGAAAACACCAATTCCACTTAATCTCTTTTAGGCTTCCAATTTTGCTTTATTTTTTTGTACTCTTATTTCATAAAATTGGAAAATAAAAAATATGTACAACTTTTTTTTGTGATTAAATCTTAGAAAGCCTCAATTTAATCATATTAGTGTATCACTCCATTATCAATTGAGTTTCAAATCTTTAGATTTTATCAATTTTATCTAAAATGTAATTGATATTAGACAATGTGATCCCTTCATCCAGATATCCTTAGTTGTGATTAAAAAATTTCATATAATTTGCACATGCACATGAAGTGCTTTTATCAAAGGTAGTAAAATATACCCTAATTTACAGCAAATGAACACTTCAATCTCGAACAGTAATAAATTTTGACATACTTCACAGGTTTGTATAAAGGGGGAAGTAGAGAAAATTTACTGTGTTTTACATGCTAAAATTGTCCTTTGAAGTAAATTCAGGTTTATTTTCACACATTAGATGTAAGCACTTAAATATTATGAGCAAATGCCACTAGCAATAGACGGATGTAAGGATGACATTGTCTAATATCGATTATATTTGGAGCAAAATTGATAAAATATAAAGGTTTGGTACTCAATTGATAATGAAAATAATACGTTAAGGGCTAAAACTTTTAATCTTACACCATATGTTCTGCCACTGCATTATTATTCATGTCGTCACCAAAACTTAAGTTTAGTGATGCATTGTTGATGATAGAGCTGCCTCATCTTGCACCTTGTCACCTAATATTTTTAATACAGATCCAAAGGCAACATGTATTGTTGCCAAAAGTTTTTGGCCACTATTTGTCTCCCTTTTCAATTTAGTTTCTGAAATTTGGGGCTAACATCTTCTTTTTTTGTTCTGTTTCTTTATTTATTTTATGTTGATGGTCACTGGCAGATTATTCCTAGTGGAGACGAGCCAATGGCTTTGCAAGCTCCACTTAATGTCCGTAATCTGATCCTGAAAATAGCACTGCACAGTAATGAATATTGGGGTATCAGGTTCATGATAAGGAGCTGTCCTTATCTAGAGACTCTTACCATAGACATTGGCCCTGCAAGAATTTTCGCAGTAAGTACTACTGCAGAAATCTTGTTAACAATTTCTGCTACGCAGTAATGTTTTTATAAATAGCTTCAACTTTAGGGATTAACGTGGTTCTTTAAACTATGTTTCTGTTTGTTTCAGGATTACCAACCTCCCTATCCATTCATCCCTGAGGAATTTTGGTCAAAGAACTTGCATATTGAAACTTGTGTCGTCAGCTCTCTTAGGGTGGTGAATGTGAAGGGATTCAAAGGCACAATAAATGAACTATATGTGCTGAGATACTTCCTCCACTTCGGCCGTGTAATGGAGGAGCTTAATCTTTATGTCCCCAATGAACCTGGCGAAAACGGCGAAAATAGGGAGTTCTATATGGGACAAGCACAGCGAGTTTTGGAATTTCACAAGGCATCTCGGAATTTAAGTATATCAGTCTTGTAAACCAGCCTTTCTAATCTGGTAACAACTTTGAAATAAAATCAGCAACTTTGTGATGATTCACTGAACTTTGTGCTGAAGATGATGGGAGCTTGTATTTTCATCTGTACTTTTATATGCAATAAGGATTGTTTTGAATAATTATATGCATATATTGATGATTTGGTGAGTGCTTTTTAGTGATGCTTTGTTTGCATTTGAAGGAGTCACAGATTCTTGTGAATAATTATACCCTTGTTTCTGTTAACAATTGGAAGGCTTTGTTGGCCATATTTGAAGGAGGATAGGACCTGTTCCTCTCGAGGAAGGAGGCTTATTGAAGTTGTGATATGGGTGGAATTTCTAGTGTTTATTTAATGTGAGGGAACATGAATATGGGCTGAAAAAATGCCATATGGTGGCAGAAAATATTATTTTCTCTTTAAAACGCCAGTGGATTTCATAAATTATGAACTTACCAGAACCGGTCATGAGGAAAAGAAACATGTAGAATTGTTTTAATTTCATGTGGCAGGAAAATGAATACGTCATTTTGAAATAGAGAAGAATGAAAATTGAAGTTCTTTGCATTTCAAGTTTTTTCTTCTTTTGCTTGAAGAAACTCATTGCTACCATCTTTAGGACCTATTACATTGAGGTTACATTACCTTTCAGCTCAGTTTAGTAAAAGGAAAAGAGAAAAGTTAATAAGAAAACTGACCTTGGTGATAGATTGTTATGCTGTAGAATGCTGAGAATCGTAGTTTTAAATAGCATATGCAATTGAAAAAGGGTTAAGATTGCGATCGTTGATCGAGGCTTATTATGATAAGAATATAATGGTTATGACAATCGATGTTATGAATGCATTAGTATTTGTCAACAAATTTATTTAGATTCAAATATTTTTTAATAATTTTACTAATTAAGCATAATAATAATATATCTAATAGTTTAATATCATACAAAAATAGTTGAATTTATTGTAAAAAAAAATTAATAATACTTTTAATAGTTTAACATCAACAAAAAAAAAAAAAAGTGCATTACAATTTCAAGATGTAAAATTTCAAGTAGATAACATTCAAATTTTTTTAAAAAAAGAAGCAAAAAAAAATTTCTTTTTTAAATAAAAGCCATTATATAATGGTAACGCTGTTATTCGTATGAAATGGTGACGGAGATTCTATAACGGCAAATAATAATAAGAGAATGCCCAAAATCATCATATAACGATAGGCTATTATTTGAAACTATGCTGAGAACTCTATCCTCAGGTTGACGGTTGGTTCGGATTTTGGTTTAATGTCGTGATCATGTTAATTTCTACATTGAATTTGTGCATACTGGTATGCAAGAATTGAGAAGCCATTTTTCTATGCATGAATATGGTTACTAACTACTTCAGAAAATGGCAGTAGCTAGGGAGGTAGGGAGACAGAATATTGCAATGATATGCTCGTAGAGAGGATGCTGCTATTAACTTTGAAAGAGATCCTATAATGACGAATAACGATAACAGAGTGTTACCGAAGGGTTATACAACGACGTAACAATTATTATTTGAAACTATATGGATGGTTCTGATTTCTGTCTAATGTCATGATCAAGTGAATCGCTGTCTTGAATTTTGGTATGCAAGGATAGAGAAGCCATTTTCCTATGCATGAATATGGGTTACCTAACTACTTTAGAAAATGGTAGTAGCCAGGGAGGTAGGGAGAGAGAATATTGCAATGATATTCTTGCAGAAAGGATTTTGCTATTAACAATTCTGTAGCATATATGGAGTGAATAGTTTTTTAGTTGTCCAACTATGACTAAAGTCTTATACTTTATCTCGCCTTCGTTATTATGAACAGAAATCTATTAGTAAGATAATAGTAGCACAAAGCATGAATTTTTGTAGGCCATGGGCTAGGCATGGGAGAGGGCTGACCATTGTTGGTATTTCTAAGTGGAAATGGAATAACCTGGATTCTCCTATCTATCAGTTATCCATACCTAGATATGGGCTTTATTTATTCCCTTTCTTCAAGATATGTGAATTGAGATTTAAAAATGCCACGCAGCAGCATGATCTGCAGGTTGTTTTAAATTCTCGAAGAAACCAACTTTGATTATATTAAGTTAAGAAGCATCGATTCCTTCTGTTGCCTGAAGGAAGAATATATGAGGAAAAAACATTATTTTGACTTTGGGACAGAGAGAAGAAGAAGAAAAGCAGAAAAGGCAGAAAAGTATGATCTTCATATTTCACGTCTTTTCATTCTTTTGCATAGATAAAACTCACTGCTACAACCTCTTTTACACTCTGTCACCATACATTTGGTAACATCAGCTATCTCCAATCCAGTGTAAAGTTAGGATAAAAAAAAAAAAAAAGAAGAAAAGAACAAAGAGAACCATACAAGAAAAAAAAAAAAAGATCTCCGGAATCCATCTGCTGAACTTGAATTCTTGTCTCTTGTTTAAATCCTTTTCCCTCTTTCGGCTATGTACATTAGGATCGGTGCCAAAGAGACACCTTTAGTAGTCAATTATGGGTTCTCCAATTGTCAAATTTCTCTCTACAGTCCATGGCAAGTTAAAGAGTTTAGCCATGATAAATTTGAAGATCTTGTTCACATTTATGTTATGTTTAGCACTTGAAAAGAAAAGGGTTGCCTTCATTGCCTTTGCGTATGCCCTTGCCTGTAGCACAGCACGGTAGAGAATTAAATTTGACAATCCTAAAGCATATTTAAGCAAAGTTCTTTCAAAACTTAATTAAAAAGCTCAACTAAGTTGAAACATGTGGCCCCTTGTGCTCATTTTTCAACACGGAAATAGAAAGAAATGTCAATTTCTGCAGAATTTTCTTTTTTCCAGAATTTGACAAATTAGGACTTTCTTAGTCATCCTCACGTCATTCCCCAAAATCACAATCTAATCCATGGGATGTCATGTTCATGAAAATTAAGTCCCACATGGAGGGAGAATTGAAATTTCATGAACAAGCTTCTGCTGCAGGCATGATACACGAATTTTACAGGTTTTTGGTAGCATCATTAGTCCATTTAGTACCACTTCTTGGAGCAAGACTTTTATAATAAAATAACCTTCACGCTTCAAAAGGAAAAGATGAGCCCTAGAATTTGACTCAGATGGTGCGTAGAAACATGTAAAATGCCAGAATTTTCAGGTATGATCCACATGATCTCCATTAATTTGATCCAACCAATCAAATAGTTTATGGTTGTAGGTTGATTACCTGAGTCACTATTGTCCACTGCAAATTTGGTGGAAGTTGGACAAAATCATCAAATTTGGTGCCTATTAGTATAGGAATTGCTGTCTGCAATCAGAAAAAACAAAAGGAAACTTTGAGATACAAAAAAAAACATTAAAACAGTTTGGTCTATTATTAATTCTAGGGCTCCACTCTTTAAAAAAGTTTCAACTGCATGATTTGTGATGCAGACCCCATTAAAGAAAGCGATAAAGCAGACACAAACTGTTATGAATATCAAGGACAATGAAACATTGCATTGAAACCATCATTAATTTTGTAGCTCCACTCCTTAATTGGTTTTTGGTAAAATCAAGGACCGTTGCAGACCATCCCTTGAACTAACAGTAGCTTTATGGTTCAGTAATTCAATTGACATCAAAGTTGCTTTTTCTGGGTTAACGTACAAACTTAATTAACATCAGCATATTTGATGATTAACTAATTAAGGTTAATTAAGTTCACATTAGTACCGTAGATTCACTCACCCCTTAAATGTCAATTATTGTTTTATAATGAGGCATTAATGTCTGTCATCTAGAAAGATTAACAGAATCAATTGTTGGTAAAGAAAGGAACTTTCAATTGGTACCTGATTCCATTTTCTTGCCTGACTGTACCATTCAACCACGCTGCAAATTAAGCCATGATTCATCAAATCATATGCTTAGAAAAGACTAACAATGCCTAAATTTTTCTGCATTAAAGAAAACGGACATGTTCCTAACCTGTTAAGAGTGCAGCGACTGGTAAGATCAAACATGAAAAGAATTGCTACTGCATCTTTACATGCAATTGGAACATGATCGAGTGACCTGCTATCACCTACAGTAAAAAAAAAAAGGTAATTAACAAAATTCCATTTCTGAAGCCTAAAATTACCTAAAAGTAAACTTGGTTAAACAATTATCAAATACCTGCTACATCCCATATACTAAATGAAATCCTTGCACCTTGAACATATAATGTTTTATCCATCAAATTAAATCCTGTCATCTCCAAGCATTTCTTCTCCTGCTCATCTCCCACATACTTGATCTTCATTCAAATAAATAAATAAATCAACACAAAGGGAATAATAAAAGAAATCAATCCCATCACTAGTCATGCTAAGCCACGACTCGGTGTAAAAAAGAAAAAAAGAAAGAAAAAAGAGAAAAGAAAAGAAAAGAAAGGTCATAAAAGCTTACCACAAAGCTTGTTTTACCAATTTGGCAATCACCCAACAAACTAATCTTCAAACTGACTAAATCCGAATCCGTGTTAAACCCACTACAACTTGCAGCCTCTAATGACTCTGTACCGGCTTCCATGGCCTCCGGTGGTGGAGAACACGGCCTGCAACTTAATCTGCGGTACCTAACGGGCTTGCCGATAGAGCAAGCAAGAATCCTGTCCCAAATGAATTGAAAAAACTGCTTAAACACTGTCACACGTTCAAGAATGCTCCACTTGATGTTATTCACATGAACAATCTTTCGACAAAGTCGTGTCATTTTTTCATGAACGATCTTAGCCATGAAAATACAACTTTGCTTCAGGTTTTTTCATAGTACTTATTGCGCTAATGTTGTGTAGTATGTTTTTTTAAGGTATGTCTGGTTTTCTTTTATTTAACTAACCAAAGCTAAAGAAGAAGGCGTCTTCGTCTCATGAGAGACAGTTGACCGGTATTTTTTGTGTACCCAAACAGTCCAAAAAGCCGGCTTCTTGGGTTTTACGTGGTGCATGGGCATTTCTGTCAATAGCCAGGTCTTGGGTCTTGGGGTGCGAAGGGTGTTTTGGTCATTTAGTAAAAAAAGTATTGTGGGAAACTTCTTGGTTATATTGTCGAAGAGATAAAAGCAAAATACAAGCAGACATACTCTTTCAGTAAAACACGTTCCAATTCTAATGATTTCAATTTAGAAATAAATGTCTATTTTTTATTATAATTCAACTCAGGACTAATCTCTCCCTAAATATGATTAAGAGGCAATTCTCAACGTCTCGAGTATTTTAAAAATACTAAATATAAAAATCAAATTTTAAATTTAATTTATAAATCAATACTTACTCATATGAGAATTACCAATTTAAAATTAATGAGATAATTATTCACTGCTATGCAGTTCAAAACCCACAAATCTTTCAATAATAAAAAAACAGAGAGAGAGAAAACAAAGTTTAAAGGGACAGAACTTTGTCAGGATAGACAGACCACGAGCATCTGTAATAGATAAGAAATCTTAGATTTAAGAATGTGATGCTTATAATAAGATAGGAGGTGTTATGGGGTGTAATGGCAATACAATTAGGAATGGTGTGAGTCAATTTTTGGCTTTCTGATATCAAATATGAACACAATACACTGACATACGCTTTCCATTCTTGAAAATAAAAATAAAAATGAAAGTGAAAGTGCATTTTCAGGAATTTTTTTTTTTTTTTTTTAAGATGAAAGAAAAAAGAACAAATTGTAGGGTTTTCTTTCTATGGTGGGGTCTTAACTTGTGAGAGAAGGACTCTCTATTTTAAGGAGAATGCTACGTGAAGAGATTTTTTTTTTTTTAGTATTTGTTCATTTTTAATGTTTCAAATCTTGGCTTTTTTTATTTTTATTTTTTTTGAAAAAATAGGCATTAATCATAGAAAATTACTTGAAAACAAAGAATTTCCAAAATAAATACACTGAAATTCAATTTGATAGCATAGCCTTTCTTTTTTATTTTGTTATTATATATAAATAATTATACTTCATAGATATAGTGCTGATTTCTTGGATTCAAATTTTAGAATCCAATTAATGATGAACTAATGAATAAAAATGAACCCATTAGATTCATTTTTTCAGCACAATTAGTAGATTCAACACTACAACCATCATTACCTATCTAGTTTTCTCATGATCCATGAAAAACAAATGAAAAATAAAAACAAAGAGTACAAGAAAGCTGAGACGGGGCATGATCAATGGCATAAATCTTAGCAAAATGTTACCCTTTCATTGGTGGATCTAGATCATGGGGGCTTTAATCCTTTTGGAATAAAGCAAAAGTTGTTTATACCATCATCATGCTCACCGTTTCACAAAAATCCCTTCTCTCTCCCACCAATACCACAAGAATATCGTTAAAAAAAAACCCAAAAAAACTTGTTCTAACTTAGTTGGGTTGGTGCTAGTGCGTGGCCCTGAATCTTCCTCTCTAATCTACATCATGAAATCTTTTTTTCCTCATATGGATGACAAGTTTTTGCAATTGTCAAGAGACTTTGAGTACTTAAAATTGATTAATCTCCAAAGATACCCCAACACAACAGGATTTGGTGTGTGTAAAACTCACCTTTCTCAAACTAGTTGATAAGAACAACAAATGGGTAGCCCACAAAAAAGTTATTCATATCTCTTACGCATTCGACATTTTCAATGTCTCTCAAAAGTGGAGTCTCATTTGGATTTCGACAAAAATCAACATGCATGGTCCTTATTCCAACCTATTCATTCTACAATAATAATGCAAACCCTCACACTGTCCTATCAATATATGTTTGCATGAGAAAAGATATTAATAGCATACAGTTAATGTAGTTGGGGGAGAAAGAGGCATTTAAAGTGCTTTCTTGTTGCATTCAAACTTAAATAATAGAAATAGTTTGCAGACAAGTTGTTGTCCTGTCTTCTTCGCTACTATACAGAATTTGAATACTAGAATCATATTTATAAAATATATTAAATTTATTGCTCCTCCTTTGAATATGGTTAGTTTTATTTTTAATATACGATGGTAATATTAAATAAAATAAAAAATAATAAATATAGTTTCATTATTTACCATAAATGAATTATATCATTGTATTATCATTTAGAATTTTAATTTTAATAAAAGTTGCGAAAAAAGAAAAGTTTTTGTTAACCTTGTAATTTGGATGTGTTTAAAATCCAAGCAATGAGAGATTTAATTGATTAATTTCAATACACAAAAACTGACTATAAATATACATCGAAACCTTAAGAAGAAGAAGAAAAGATTCTCCCTCATGCTATAAGATAGGAATGTATGACAATTATACTAAATTGTTTATGGATGGGCGGTGAAACGTGGACAAACAAACCTAAGCTTGAACTCTAAAGTGTATGTAAGAGCATATTGTTTTAATTATAAACTATTTTAGGTATATATATAAAAAATAACATTGTGGGTTTGAAATATTTTCTCACTATTGATCATTTGGCAATGCATTTGGTGGTTGAGGACTCGTCCTAGAGGTCCCTACATGGACACCTAGACTAGAACCACCTAACCACCTTGCATATACTATTTTGTTTGCTACGTAGGCCATTGGTTGTGTTGGTTAGGATATGAAAATGTAACACCAAACTTCAATTATTAATGAATGTAGTTTATTCTTATCAAGCTAGCTATATTGTGTAATGATGTCAAAGCTCTCGAGTCTTGTAATGGATAATTAGATTTTTTTTTTCCTTAACAAATTTCTAGAACACATCAAACCAAGTATGATTGATAAGGTTTCTTAATTCCTTTTTGACTAGACACATTTCGGGTTTTTGTTGCCGAACTTTCATGTGTTTAACCCTCGTGTTGACACATCGAAAGAGAGTGAAAGACTTGCGAATTCAATCATAGTGGGCAGAAGACATGAGATTGAGTGATGGACCTCTTGAGAAAAAAAGGTTGCCAAGAAGAGTTTGCTTCATGTCAAAATCAATTCGTTGAATTAGGGTACCTTATTTTGGCTTTTCTTGAGAGCAACTTAGCTATGGCCAAGTGGGAAATCAGTTTTATCTAATTTTACTTTTTTTGTGTAACATTCGTGTTGATGTCATTAGCTCCTAATTAATAATTGTTATTTCGGTAAAACTCCTCTTTCATTTCCAAACTTGTGGAGTATTTCGATTATCTAGTCTAGTCTTTCTTTTTTCTTTCTTCTTTTTTCGGTTTGCTTTTTCTCTTGTGGATGACATTTGATGCAAAGTTGAAAATAAATGGGGTGAATTAATTATTACAAGAGTTGTTTTATTTTGAAAATGTAAGAGCTAGTTTTAAAAAATGTTTGATATGTTAAGGTAAATTGTTGTTGGTGGAAAAAGAGGAAAAAAATTAAAATATTTACGATATATATGTGTGTGTTTGGAGATGTATTTTAAAGCCAAAAAAAAAAAAAAAAATGCAAGAACAAGGAAAATAAATAATAGAGGTTGGCTTGGAGGTTAAATACTTAAATCTAACCTCCAAAAATATTTTTCTCCTTGATAATCAACCTCACACTTTAAGAAAAGTGAAACTTAATTAATATAAAGACAATTTCTAAATCTTTTAATGTCATATCAATGGTATCCTATTATATAACTCATGCTTTTTTCTATCAAAATTTTATTTGGTTTGCAGTTTTAAAAAAAATAGAAAACGATTTAATATATATATATATATATATATATATATATATATATATATATCAATTTTTATTTATCAAAATTAAATTTATTTTAAAATAAATTAGTTTGGGAAATTAGTTTTTTTTTTTTCCGTAAGAATGTGAGGAATTTTATTTTTACCACCACTATCCATAGAGAGGCGACAAGCTATGGAGGTTTTTTATTTTCCCCATTTGATCGAGTCTTTGGCTGTTTTTTTTCTTTCCATCCCTTTTCTCAACAAGCATGGATTACCGACGGTAGAAGGCGTTGGATTAGCCTCATTGAAAGGTTAAACAAAATGTCATTTCTTTAAAACTTGTGGAACATATCCAAATTAAGGTTAAGATGTCCCAAAAAAAGAAAAGGAAAATAAGAAAAATCCAAAGGTTGAGAGGCCGTGATAAGTCAGGAATGAAGAGCAAAGCTTTCTCGATAGCTTTCTAGGTTTGTTGAAGCTTGACAATGACCGTAGAGGCAATGTCTATTTGGTTTTGGAACGATCTCAATCAACTAATGAATGGGTCTAGACACATGTTAGTGCATGCTTAAGAAGCATCTTAATCACGTTTACAAGAAATGGAAAAAAAGAGGGCATCCATCTCTTGATTTGTTTATGATAAATCGTGAAATCCCAACAATCAATCATGTTGATTAAGAGGCTGTAGCCGACAAGCATTAATCTCTTAATTTGTGATGGAAGTTTAGGAAAAGAGTTGTCATTGAAAATGAGTCACGAGGATTTTACATGCCAACTACTCTCTAATTGTATAATTGATCATGCCCTTGAGCTCTTATAATCATATAGTTTAATTGAATTCACTGGTCATTCTCATAATTTCGAATTTGTTTTTTAAAACTATCAAAAAATGTGGTTTAACGGTAAAAAAAATTAATTTAATTTGATCAAAATTAAGGTTTAATTTCTATTGTCTACATATAACTAACTATGATATTTTTTGATGCTGTCAAGTTAGATTGATTTAACCTAAGAAAATAGTTTAGTGATCGATCAAGAGTTTTAAAAATTATAAATTTAGATCTCGATTAATATAAAACTTAATTTAAAAATACTCCACACATATATAATAATTAAATTATCTATCTTCAAAAGGGCATTTATATGTTAGAACTAATTGTCAAAGTCCATAAGGCGACCTAAAAGAACCATCTCTATATGTACAATAATTGCATAAGAGAGATTTTAATTTACAAATAACGAATTAAATGCTTTACAATAAAGTTAGGATCACCATCAGTTGTCTACTAAATTTCATAAAAAAAAAAAATTAACATCATTATCAGGGATAAATAAAATACAGAATTAAGAACTTTTCTCCGAAAAAAAAAAATTAAATACAATTCGTTGAACATCAACCAACCGATCGAGCTATAGTCTGAGTGATGCAAGGCAAGAAAATTCCATGTTTAACTCCCCCATGAGAGAGGAGGATATATCAGTCTTACTGTTATTTAAATTCAAATTGGCTTACCATATTAATCAAAAAATTACGTGATTAATTTCAAATAATGACGAATTAGTTGAGATATTTCAATATATTATTATGTTTTTAAAATTGATACAATATTAGATGTGATCTGACTCTAATTTAATTAAAAAAATAAATTTAATCTCAGTTAATGTAAAAAATAATTTAAAAATATTTTAACATACGTAGATATATAAAAAATAATCAAATTTTCGTACAATTGGTTCCAAAAAAAAGAAAAAAAAAAAACCACTAAACTATGAAAATGCTAAAATGTCCACCTTTGTTATGCAAATTACAAAAATGAGTAATAAATGGGTCGGTATAAATTGGGCCGGTTCAGAGCCCAATTAAGGAGTAAATTATAAATTGGTTCCTCTACTTTTGAGAAATGAATTGATTAGGCCTTCATGTTTTTAAAAAACTAATTTAATCTTTTTTGTCAGTTTTATGTGTTTTTCTAATTTGTTTTTCAAAATAGATATTATATAAATATTGAAAAAAATAAAAGAATGATAAATAAATAGATATTATATAAATATTGATAAAAAATAAAGATATTTTTTAAAAAATAAAGTGATATTAAAAAAAACATGATCAATACTGAAAAAAATGCTAAATAAATAGTGTTTAAAACAAGGAGATTTATTAATTCGTTTCTGAAGACTAGAAGGACTAATTTGTAATTACTCCCCGACTAAGCTTTCCCGAATAATTTTCGTTCCGCTATTTTGCCACGCGTCCAATCCTCAGCACCTAACCGAACTATCGGTAGCAAACTAACTGTACCTCAGATTTGCCCAACTTCTAAAACCCTAGAAACCTTAAACCCGCGCAATTAACTGGAAATCACAATAATAATTTTATCCTCAATTTATGAATGAATTGAAAAATTTAAAACATGGGTTCTGAAATTGAAACCCTAGAGGAGAGATTCAACTCGTTTTTGGTGCAGCTTCAGGCAGAATGTAGGGTTTTTGAGAGAATTGTGTACAAAAATAAGAACCAGCATAGAAGATGCTCTTATTTTCAGTATCTACTAAAGGTAAAAAATTGTTAGTTTATTGGGGTTTTAGTGTTATCTTGTTCATTAGGTTTTTGGGGGTTGTTTGGTTTTAGAAAGCTGAGTAAGAGAAGAGAGAGCTTCGTACTTTTTTTTTCTTATTTGCTTTTACGAAGAAAGAAACAAGCTTGCTTCAGTTGAGCTTATTAGGGTTTTTGAATTTGCTGTCTCCATTGGAATTCTCTTATTTTTATGAGGTTAGCGATTAATCGAAGGAAGATTTTTTTTTTGGTTTTTTAGCCTTTTTGAAGAGAAGGGGGACTTTTTTTGGGGTCTAAGTAGCTATCACTGTCTAGATTGTGGTGGTTTTTTTGCATCTTTATATTTAGAATCTGTAATATGCTCTATTTTTCTGCCAATTTTCAGCTTCTAAGCATATAACGAGCTCACATTGTTTGTATGTCTATTTATTTGCTTGAGATATTAGGTGAGGAGGGATTTGAGGCTTTTGCAATCTTGTAAGTTGGAGGAGACAGTGGGTTCTTGCTTTCATGTTATCACCGGAAGGAAACCCACACAAAAGGTTCATCTGCTAGAAAGGTACAATATTTTACTTTTTTAAATATCTAGTTGATTTTTTGTTTTAGATTCAACTGTGCAAACTTACAGTTAGTCAAAATGTACAGCATAGGATACAAAGAGAGTAAAATATTTACACAGCATTGCAGAATGAGGATGACGATTTGTGTTATGCTTTTCTTCATTGTAGGCAATGTGTTTGCTTCACAATAAACAAAATCTTGATGGTTAAGGTTGTTAAGCTCTTCTAAAGGCAATTTGTGTATAACATCAAGTTAGGCATTTAGATATGTCACACTATAGCTACCTTTTTTAAATATTAGTAATTGATGTTTACTTCATAAATACGAAGATGTTGTTGATTTTGATTTTGATGATAGAAAATGTTTTATTTACTTCTATCTTTACACATTCATAAGGAACCATGAGAATCTTTAGGCCTTTGTGAAATTATGGTATATAAAACTAGTAGCAAGTGCTGTAAATCCCTCACATCCAATCTAAAGGAGGTTATTTTGTAACTCAAATGTATCTCTCATTTATGGAACATTTACACTGCATTGGTGGTTTGTATTGGATTATATCTATTTGTAATACAACAAGAATATCTTTCGGTTTTCCCTTATGGGATATATTTTTAGTATTTGTTTTGGTTTCATTTGTCACAGTATGAAGTGGAGAAAATGTGAGTCTGGAACACCTAATTTTATGGAGCGACTTCTAGGAGCTGCACGCTTATTGTCACAGGTACAGAATTATGTTTTTTCTTTTGTTTTATTATCATCTCACTTATTTTCTTACATATATCTTGCAGTTGATATTTTCTTCATCATTTTATAGCAAAGGCATTTTGATATATCGCCAATTCATCTCTTTTGCACCATGGGTTTTACTTTTTAATCATGACCATTTGGAGATGACAAATTCTGCCTAATAGATAAGAAAGAATTTATGGAGGTATCTCAGAATTACATACGGATACAATGCAGTGCTAAAACATTTATTTCAATTTTTGTTGCAGATGGTGGAGCCAATGTTTAAAGCAGCTACGTATCCTTTTTGTTTTCTTTCTTACTTAATGTATAGCTAATTCTATTGTTATAGTCAGTGATTTTTTGATCTCTTGTTATCTTCCATGGTCTTACTAATTTGGTATTTCAAGCATACAGTGATTAGAAATTTAATCCATCATCCTAGATGTGTTCCTGACTCCAATAATGGAAATGGTTAGCTCTGTATATTTGTGGTATTCAGTATCTAGTATAGTAGTCGTAATAGACTTCTTTTGCACTAAAAAAAAAAAAGCCATGCACTTAAGCCATGAGATTAAACCAGTGTTCAGTGGTATGAAATTGCTTATTAACTGCTTGTCATTTGCCGTAAATTATTCAACATATCTTGCTGAGTGGTATGTGGCAATATACACAAATAGTCTCGTGCATGCTGGTACACATGCACATGAACAAACACTGGCACGCACAGACATAAATTCATATTGGCATATCTGTTGATATTTTTTGCTATATTCCTTGAACTAGTTTCGGTTGTAATCCTATGAGTTTCATTATTTGCTCTCATTTTGTTGGGTATGGTTCTTGCAATGAGGAATCTTCTTTGAAGCTTGTACTTTACCTTGCCTGCTTGCCACCACTCTTTTATTTGTTACTCTTTTGAATTATCTAAGATTTCGAGAAGTCTGCTGTTAGACGCATGTTAGGATTTCTTCTTTGTGCTTTGTCTCTGTAATTTCAGGTTCTAACATATGTTTTTCATTTCTAGATTCCTAAGAAACCATGAGTTTCCCTTTCTAGTTTTATTACCTTTTACGTATTAGTGTTGTATGGGTCTTTGATGTCTTGAGACTGCTATGTAAAAAAAGCAGGCTGGGTGCCTGGTTTCTTTTTTTAGTTGGATCATTCCCTTGACTACGTTACAGTGATATATCTACTCTACTCGCACGTTCTTTTTTTATGGGATTTTCTCTGACAATTTTGGCTCTGCTTGCACGTCTTCGAGTTTTGGTTCAGCAAGTAAGTTGCCTCTTTGTTTTTGTAAACTGTTTGAAGTTCATAATACACTTGTAGTGTGAGCCATGTTGTGCTGGTTTACAGCATTCAAATGGATATGGGTGTCATTTACATTTGTTCTTGACAATTCCCATGGATATGGATGGTATGCAGCTGTGATATTTGGAAACTGATTTTCAGTAGAAAAATGGACTAGCTTCCATTAGTAATTACTGTTAGTTGGATAATCTAAAGCACAAATGAAACTACTCTGTGGTTGTTGGGAGCCTGGAATTTTTGCTTCTTCCTATTGAACATCAATGCGGTTTTCTTCTGCAGATATTGCTTGATGTTGTTTCGGTATTCAACATGGTCTCCTCTCTCTCCCGGGAGAAGCATTCTATAAAAATAACTCAGAATGGACTTGAGGTTGGTCAAACCCTTATAGTTTCTGCAAATTCTTTGGGCAAAAGCCCTTTTCCTCGGTGCACTCTGGCTTATGTTTTGGTTTATTTACAAATTAATGCAGGTATTTAGGGAGTATTATCCACCAAATAAGGAGTTTGTCACCCTAGAGTGTGTGTGGGAGACAGATAAGTTTGTTTTGGTTGAGAAAACACACAAAAGAGATGTAAAAGGTGAAGATGGGGGTCTTGGAGATGGTTCTGTTGGAAAGTCAGCTCCACGTTATTGGAGTCTTGAATCTTTTCTAGGAGGTAAGAATATCCTGACCAAGTTCTTGTTTCGGTTTCTTTTCATTTCTCTTGCCCTATGCTTTCCAACCTATCCTTATCCCCCTCCCCAATAGCCACCCTGCTGCCAGTTATATTAATATATTGTTTCTTCTAGGAAAGTCTAAGCTGTGAGTTATATGATGCATCATTGCACTGTCCTGCAGGCACCTTTGTTTGCTAATTGCATCTTACTGTTCTCATTTGCATTTCATGTTTGGTTTTGTTTATCTTAGTCTCAGATAATGCAATATATTGCTGCTATGCTAATCATCATTCATGATGCTGTTCTGCTTTCTGCTATGCTTGTCAAGGCTGTGCAATCAGCAAAAATGTGAGACATTTACTTTTGTTAGGCCGAAAATGGGAGGCAGGCGAAAGGCCCAAACTGCCGGCATGGCACATTGCATCCAAACACCCCCGTTATTCAGCAAAGTCACTATTTGTTGCTTTTAGGTGGATTTATAATTATGGTCCTGCACATTAGGCATTAATAACGATCTTTATAGATCTGAATCTGAGAACTGGAAATCCTTCTAAGATGATATTCAAGTCTCAGGATTCTGTATGATCCTGGCCAATTTAATAACTCGAGGTTTTTTTTGAAGGATTGTACAAGTTGTGGACAACTGTCCCTTGGGGAATGTTATTGTTTCAACTTGTTACAAATGCCATGTTTGGTTTCCAAACTCAGATGGCCTGCTGAAGGATGTTGTTAACTCATTTGCACGTGTTAAGGAACTATTTTATTTTTTCGTGAATGTTTTTTTTTTTTTTGGCTGCCTTGTAATTTTATGGTCATTTTCACTCAGTAATGTCAGAATGGTATATTGCAGACAGTGACTCTGATCTGGAGAAAGCTGATGAAGATCAAACTGCCAGAGAAGGTTCTGCTCATATCAAGGAAGATACAAAGCATTTGTTTCCAGGCCCTCCTCTTCGAGGTGAGTTTGGGAAACAAGTTGAAGATGGCGTTGAATTGGGAGACAATCCAATCATTTCAGAATCTCCAGGTAAGCAACTCCCTCCAAAAGACAGCCTGGCTGCAACATCAAGTTCACCTCCAAGCTCAAAATCAAAGCAAGTGGCTTTTGTCTCAGTTAAAAGACCTGCGCCATCGACAGCAGCCTTCATCTCTGTCAAAAAACCCACAACTTCAAATGCAAATATAGAGGATCCTCATTTCAAGGAAATGGAGGACAATAGTAACAGGGACGACTCATTTTTTAATTTGCTCACTGGTGATAATCTCAAAGACAGCCTATTTTGATGTTATAAACGAATCAAATAGACAGTTCTCTAAAATGCAAGATTTTTTTTGTTGCAACAGTTGGATCATCTATCCTCTTTTAAAAAGCTTTGGCTATGATCATGTCAGATTTGCAAGTGAAAATTTCATCAAACTGTAAAAATAAGGTTCTACTTGCAATTTCCTCTAAGAATGCTAATAAGATATTTGATTTGCAAGTGAAATTTTTTGAGGTTCTCTCTCTTGCTCGCGCTTATAATCTACGCTCATCTTGTTGAATCTTGATTACTATTTTATAGTAATGCACTAAATGGTTGGATTTTTTTTTTTTTCTTTCTTTTTGGTTCATGAAAGTGTGCTTGTTAATTCATTTTTTCAAATCCAGTTAAAAATTTTGAATTTTAAGGTGCCTGGTTAATTTGTAATGGTACCTGTTTGATTACTAAGAAAGAATAAGAAGATTGATTTGAGGAATTGGGTATGATTGAAAAAGCTTGAAAGTTTGAAACCAATGACGAATCTCCAAATTGAGATTGAATTAGATAAGCGAGTGTGTTATTGGTTCAAGTTTAGGAGCTTTCAAAAGAAAAACACTGTTAAAATATATAATTTCTTCGAATTGTGGATTTCTCCGATTAGGGGATGATCATCATTTATTACTTCGAAGGCCTGGAATTGAGGAGGTTACAGGGATGACTGGGGTAGAATTGAAAAAGTTGGAGGAGTAAATAAATCCAACAAAATGGTGCGCTAGTGGGTGAGAAGACACGTGTTTGCTAATGAAGAGGGTGTGTCGCACGTGAGCTGTTCTGTTACTGTTAGTGGAGCTCGCGAGACAGTTGTTTGTTTGTTTCGTTATCTCAACTGCTTGAATAGCTTTGTAACATTTGCTTCTTAATTGAATAAAATCAGTTTTACTTCTTGAAATTTCTATAGAATTTGGCATTCAACTTTAGTTCTTCCCGTAGTTATCCCAATCGACTCTATCTCTGATACCATTTATCAAAGAGATATTTGAAAAATCTTTTGAACTCATAGACTTATTCGAAAAACTTATATACTTTTAATAGAAATTATTTCAATTCAAAATTTTAAATTTTTAAATATGGATTTATCTTTATATATAAATATATTAGAGTTTTCAATGATGATTATTATATGAGGTTTCTAAATACTTAAGGATCTAAGTGTATTCTTATACTTTATATCCGACAAAGATTCTATACGATATTCGTGATATGATTATTAAGCCTAAGTTACATTGTAGGTTAAATCATAATGAATATAAGCATGTAAGGGCATATCCATCGATTTTTTTTGTTAATTATGTTAATCGGATAATTGGATTTGAAACGAGAATGATGAGTTAAGAAAACAAAAAAAAATAACCACAAAATAATAGTCTATTGGTAAAATAACATCAATTTGTTGGTTAAATTCAGAGTTTTTTCTTTGTGGCCATTACTTGTTGAGAATTTATTTTTAGAATAATCGAGGTTGTGCATTGAGGAACGTCCCTTAGTTATGTTCGGAGAAGAATCAATATCGAAGTATGTGAAAGCTAGTCTAAAGACATTCTTACTCGTTGAACCTAAAAATAAAAAAGAACAAAAATAAATTTGAGTTGGAAATAATATGAAAAAATAATTAGTATTAAAAATATTAAAGGAATTAGTCTTATGGTTAGCAAAAAAATTTATTTTATTCTTCTAATTTCTAGATTTAATTCTTGGGATCAATATCTGGCAGTATGAACTAAAAATTAATGAGTCACGAGCAAGAAAGAGAACACATGGTTAACATCCAAGAGAGAATTAGCAGCTTAGCCCTGAGGGTATGGCAAGGAATTCCAGGTTGGAAATTATTAAAGATCAAGGACCAAAAGGGAACAAGACAGTTGTGGAACGACTGAAAGTTAATGAGTCATAAGCAAGAAAGGTAACACGTGGCTCACATATGAGAGAGAATTAGTAGCTGAGTTAGTGATGTCCAAGTGAGTTGAGTTGTCAAATGGATTTGGGAGGAAAAGTTGTTGGGAAATAGTTATGCTATAAATTAATAACAAATTCTCTCTCTCTCTCTCGTAATTAATTCATTCTACATCACTAAATGTTTTCTTCCTCTCTCTGATTTTTTTTTCCTTTGAATTTTCCCTCTGAATTTTAATTCTTTTAAAATTGATGTAATTTTTTTTATTGAAATTGTAACTAATTATTCATAATTATTATAATTACGGAGCAATTTTTTAAATTATAAAAGTATAAGATAATATTTACATTTTATTAAGTGCATATATTTAACAATTCATAATCACTTGCTAGTTACAAAGTAAATAGAATTTATTTCCTTTTTAAAAATAATAATTAATGTACTCTTTCAATTGTAATTGTACAATAATATTAGTAACTAGCATAATTACGGAATAACTAGTTAACTTGCAAAGTGATTGGATAAATTATTAAGATATAATAAATAAAGATATTGAATACTTTTACTTAATTATATGTTTTTTTTTTTTTTTAAGAAATAGGGACAACATGATGGCAAATTTTATTAGATAAATCAAGAGAAATACAAAAAGGAAAATCCGGCCTAAACTCAATTTAAAAGGAAAAGAAAACCTGACCTCGAAAGATGTAAAAATAAAGTGTTATGTACGATAATTGTACAGACCTATACCTAATTATATGTGTCATGTGGTAAAAGTTGATAGATGGGAATGTAACCAATGCTTTTACATGTGATCATAATGCCACTATTTTATCAAAAAATTTATTTGAGCTCGTATATATATTTTTTTAATATGTATTCTTGAATTTTTAGAAACTCATAGGTGTGCATATATGGATGCTTGCTATAATTACTTCAAGGCGTTATAATTACAATATTTTCAAGTTTACGAAATCATAAGATAATGTTTATGATACAATAAATATAAATATTTTCTAATTCGTAATCGTTCAAAAATGTTTCCTTACAACTTAAATGATAATTTTTTTCTTCTTCTCTAAGGTAAGAGGAATTTTTATTTACTTATTTAAATTATACATAATTGTTCGTAATCATAACAAATACAGAAAAATTGATTAAATTACAAAAATATAAGATATTTTTTTTACAATTCCTTAAGTAGATGTATTTAACGGTTTATAATTATCTGTTTGTTACGAAATACATAATATTTTTTTTAATTAACAATCTACTTAGCAAAATTACAAAGTAATTAGTTAATTCACGAAGTAATAAGATAAATTATTACGATATAATAAATAAAAATATTTAATAATTTGTAATTTAAAGGCATAATTTGATATATATTATAACTTTTGGATTTGAATTAGATTGGGCCTACAATGATGGACAAGTCCAAGTCTAAGATACAAAGCAGGATTAGGAAGAGAGTTTTTATGTAACACAAAACTGCCAAAGCATTAGAAACTCTGGGTAGAAATTGTCTCAACACATGTTCAAGGCTTTTTAATTGTAAAACATTTGTGTTTTCTTCTTGCAAACTGGCCTGAGCACATGGAATAAAAGATCCCATCAGAAGAATTTGTTCTTATTTTTGAATAAACTTTTAAAAAAATTCAATTTAATTTATGATTATCTTCTGATTTCTACCATTCCTATCATACATTCATTCTACTCTTTTGACATGAAAGACATATTAAACTATTTAATGCATCCCCCTTTGGGAGAATCAAACGGTGTCGTTTCATGTGTAGGTGTATAACCTTCTCGATATCGTATTTGACCAAACATTTTCTAAACTTTTAGGTCATTTGAAAATCAATTTTCAATTTTCAATTTAAAGTTAGATTTTTTCTAATTTTTTATTTGAAATTCAGTCATTTTTTTTTAAAATCAATTCTAGAATCTAAATATAATTCTTCAGCAGATAAAAACATATAAGAACTTATAAATGCTTTATATTATCTTTAAAAAATTGTTTTTTTTTCTTTTAAATGCTAAGAATTAAGTAATCAAAAAACGTTTTAAAAAGAAAAAAAATTGGAAAGAAACAAATTTTGAAAAGAAAAGGCAAAACATCTATATGTTTTGAAATATTTTTAGTTATTGAAAAGTTAAAAAAATCAATTAGGTACAACTATGTACTTTTATAATTAGAATCGATAAAAATCTAATAAAAAATTCAATTTTAAAGAAAAAATAGTTAAAAAAAATTAAATTCAGAATTAAAAAATTTAAAATTAATTTTTAAATAATTTAAAATTTAGTGGAGGTTTGAACAAACATTTCCTAAACTTTTTTATCATTTGAAAATCAATTTTCAATTTTCAATTTAGAGTTATATTTTTTTAATATTTTTTAATTTAAAATTTTCATCATTTTAACGGATAAATACAATTCCTTAGATAAAAACATATAAGAACTTATAAATGCTTTATATTATCTTTCAAAAATTATTTATTTTCTATTAAATACTAAGAATTAAGTAATAAAAAAAATTTAAAAAGAAGAAAAAATTGGAAAGAAACAAATTTTAAAACGAAAAGCAAAACATATGTGTTTTGGAATATTTTTAGCTATTGAAAAGTTAAAAAATCAATTACGTACAATTCATGTATATTTTTATAATTAGAATGGATGAAAGTCTAATAAAAAATTTAATTTTTAAATAAAAAATAGTTAAAAAATCAATTCTAAATTAAAAAGTTAAAAATTAATTTTTAAATAATTTAAAATTTAGTGCAGGTTTGAACAATTTAGCCGTAGTATATTACCGGCATGCTCGGTAATGAATAACTGGGAAGTCACGAGTGATCCCTGCTCATAGAAAAAAGCAAGAAACAGATAGCACCTGAAGAAACTGTGAAGTATTTGACACACAGAACGTAAGAAATGGTAAATGTTGTAAATATTTATCATCATCAAACACCACCAATTCTTCCACTTCAATTTCACTCCTCTCCTCCTCCTTATTTGACCAGGTACATAAAATATCATAAATTTATTTTCTTTTTTGTCTTTATTAATGTTTGTTCTTTCTTTTTTTGGTTCATGAAAATGTGCTAGTTAATTCTTAATTCATTTTTAATCCAGTTAAAAAGTCGTTTTCAATTCTGGGGTGTCTGTTTAAGTTGCAATTATGCATGTTTGGTTACTGAGAAAGCACGAGAAACTGATTGAGGAATTGGGTATGGTTGCGAAAGCTTTGAAGTTTGAAATGAAGGATGAGTACCCAAATTGAGATTGGAATTAGATATGTGAGTATTTTATTGAATCATGTTGTAAGAGCTTTTGAAGAAAAACACTAGTATATTCTTTAATTTCTTGGAATTGCGGAATATTCTGAGTTGTGGAAAGTTAGATTTCATTTGTTTGGCTTTATAAAATCTGATTCCTAATCTAATCGATCTTCTTATATAGGGGAGTGCCTGGAAAGGTGGTGATAAAATGTTCATTTGAGAACCCTTCCTCAAGTAATGTTGCAGTAAGGCATGTGCTGTCTGGGTTTGCGGCCTCATTAATATTTCTTTCCCAGACAAATCAGGTTGGTTGATTTATTTTTTCCAACACTTATTATTGCATTTTTTTTAATCATAATTGCAGTCCCAATTTTACGAAATCAAGACCTATAAGCTCGTAGGATTTATTATGTGGCTGCATTTTTTGTTGCATGGAACACAGGTTAGTGAGAATGTGTTAGAAGGTTGTATAGGTCAACTGTCAGAGAAAAAACGAGGTGCTGACTGCTGAGTGTCTCAATTCATTCCTGCATCTCAATCATTCATAGAGCTTGGAAAGAAAAGATGTCGGGAATTAGGTTCTTAGTTGCGAGTTTACAATCTTGTCAAATCTTTCTTAAATTTCTTCCCATAAAATTTGGATCCAGTAAGTGGTATTCTGAGTAAGTCAATGGAAGAAGTAGAATTCCATGTGCAGTTTTTGGATTCATAGGATCTTTGCTTTATTGAACTAGAAAATATATCTGCATGATGAGCAGGAGTATTCTGATTTCTGAGTAATCCCTCATTGTTCTTGTTAGGTTCTTGCAGCAGATGTGTTTCAATCCCGCACTATCTGCCAGCTTGCAATTGCTGCAGAAAATAAAATAACCCTTCCACTTGATGAGAATTCTGATGAAGGAAGGGGAAGACTAATGATGATGAGAGGTATGACAGCTAAGAATTTTGATCCTGTAAGATATTCTGGAAGGTGGTTTGAAGTAGCTTCACTTAAACGTGGATTTGCTGGGCAAGGTCAAGAAGACTGCCATTGCACGCAGGTAAAACGCTAAGGGTATGTCTGACATTCACTTATTGTTAAGATTCATCCTTGCGTGAATTGCTATCTAGCAGAGGGGAAAAGCCTCAGAATATTCACTTTTCAATGTGCAAATGTTAGACCATCCCTCCTATGCTTCCTTCTTGTTGTTAGACATATCAGGTTTGCAAGCACTTGTGGTCAAGTGCACTGTACAGATTGGTCTTTTCTGAAGGATGCAAACACCATAGTTCTGCCATCAACTGAATGCTATCTTGGCCATCTCATCTTTATTTAATTTGAGGTTTTCTCAGTCAAAGGTTCATAGCTTCTAATGTATGTTAATTTACCTTCAGGGAGTGTATACATTTGATATGGAAAAACCAGCTATCCAGGTAGATACCTTTTGTGTTCATGGAGGCCCTGATGGTTATATCACAGGTATAAGGGGAAATGTTCAGTGCTTGTCAGAGGATGATTTAGAGAAGAGTGCTACAGAGCTAGAAAAGCAAGAAATGATCGCAGGGAAGTGTTACCTCCGTTTTCCAACCTTGCCATTTATCCCCAAGGAGCCGTATGATGTGATTGCTACTGATTATGACAACTTTGCTCTTGTTTCGGGAGCAAAAGACAAAAGTTTTGTCCAGGTAATCACCCATTTAACAAAGAGCTCGGTATATATTAGATGGAAATACACATTTGCTATTCATGTTAAAGTTTTACAAAGCCGAATAGTTTTCAGATTGAAAAAAAATGGACATCAAAATCTCTCATTTCTATCATACACATCTGAACTGAACCTCGTTAAACAGCTAAGCTCTAGCAAATAGTTTTAATTGTTGTATTCAACTATCGGAGTTATTGCCATTGCTACAGCTAGAGCACGACAATTGATTATATTATCTGCCATATGGGAGAGCGTTAGTTTGCAAACTTATAGTGAAGTGTAATCAGGAAACATTAGAATAAGTTTCTTGTGTTTGTGATTCCAGTATGATACTGAACTATGGTAGAACTAACTTGTAATAGGAACTACACTCCGACTTGAATGGGGTTGTTGCTCATATTTTCTGGAGTCCAAATTTTTACATGTATTTTTCTACTCTTTAGTTAACGTTTGAGCTCGGGATTGCAGCAACTAGGATTTGAAACAAGTTATCTATGAATGATTGATCACTTAAAGCTTTGTGTTGTGGCATCGATATTGCAGATATACTCGAGAACACCTAATCCTGGACCTGCATTCATTGAGAAATACAAAGCTTATTTGGCAGACTTTGGGTATGATCCAAGCAAGATCAAGGACACCCCACAAGATTGTGAAGTTATGTCCAACAGTCAGCTTGCCGCAATGATGTCTATGTCCGGAATGCAAAAGGCTCTTACAAACCAATTTCCTGATCTAGAATTAAAGGCCGCAGTCAAATTTGATCCCTTCACAAGCGTGTTTGATACTTTGAAGAAGCTACTGGAGCTTTATTTCAAATAGAAAAAATGAAGTCTGTGTACGTTATAACCCTCCTGCTTCTGTACTCCACATCCTCCTAACAGATACATAATTCTTTCCTAATACTATTTGTGAACTCTTTCTATTGTTGCTGCTGCCAATAATTTCTCAATCAAGATCAACTTCAATGTCCAAACTATCAAACATCTCAGCTTGAAATATTTGTTTCCTGTTTTCTTTGGTTCCGCAAGTTTTCTTGGATGTGTCCTGTTTTTTTTTTTTTTTTTTTTTTTTTGATAAGGATTGTGCAACCCATATCAGTTTTTAGATGAAAACACGATCTTGAAATAAAAAAATATATTTATTTTCACTGTAATGATCAATAGCAGCCGTTTATTATTTTATAAATACATAATAGTTGTTATTGTTGTAGTTTGTCAATAAAAATATGTCGGCTGTTATTGTAATAATTTGTCAATAAAAATACTATAATGCCGAACAACGATAATAAAATATCTTTATAAGTTGTTTATGTTAAATAACTATTGTTATTTAAAACCATGGGACATTATGGTCTCTTTCATTTGTAAAGATATAGGTCTGAAAATGGTTTGGTTTTTAGTTGGAGGACTAATCAATTGGTTTCAAAACAATAGAGAGACTAATTTATAATTTACTCGAATGATCTCAGACAGACCAGTCTAACGTGCCAATTGCTATCTTCTATATCCTCAATTACTTAAATAATCAGACCAGCCTATCTTCCATATTATACATATACTCTTACAAAATCTCTCTGAACAACCCACCCCATTTGGATCTTCTCTTCTGTGATTGATTCCACAACCATCCAAAATGAACGACGCAGCTGTTTCCCAGCAGATCCAGCAGATGGTCAGATTCATCCGCCAAGAAGCGGAGGAAAAGGCCAACGAGATCCTAGTTTCTGCTGAAGAAGTAATTCTTTTCTCTTCTTTGATTCTGTTTTGCTGAATTGGTCAGTGGGTTTTTTTGAGTTTTGATGAGAAAATTGTGTTTTTGAAGGAATTCAATATTGAGAAGCTACAACTGGTAGAGGCCGAGAAGAAGAAGATCAGGCAAGAGTATGAGCGTAAAGCGAAGCAAGTTCAAGTTCGTAAGAAGATGTAATTCTCTCCATCTTTTAATGTTTTTTTTTTTTTTTGGTTAAATTTTCGTGATTTGTGTTTGTTAGTTATGCTGTTTATTGATTTGTGGAGTTATATTGGTTTAGTTTATAATTCAGTTTTTAGAGATGGGTTTGTTTTATGCTGTTAAATTTGGTTGCTTGTAGTTGTTTTCTTGTGCGCAGTGAAGTGAAGTGATGCTACTCATAAACTTTTTAGTGTTGAAATTGATTTTATCTTTTTTTAAGCACTTATTTTTGTGAATGGATATTATAAAAATATGGTTCAGTTTGAAACCGTGTAGGATAGATTACTAGTTCGATTTTATTGAATGGAGCTTGGGATTGGATTTGAAATAGTTCTCGGTCAATTTGTTTTGATAGAGAATGTAATTTTTTTTTTTTTTTTTTTTGGCATTCTCATCTGAAGTGGTGGTGATGAAGTGACATTTTATTTTGTTGGTTTTTCTGTAAAGTGAGTATTCAATGCAGCTTAATGCTTCTCGGATCAAAGTGCTTCAGGCTCAAGATGATGTGGTTAATTCCATGAAAGAGGTAGCAGGAAAGGATCTTCTGAATGTCAGCCAACATCACCACCAATACAAGCATCTGCTCAAAGATCTCATCGTTCAGGTCATTATTGAATAACCGGCTTGCCTATTTATCGGTTTCTTTATATATATATATATATATATATATATATATATGTATATATCATACACATCAGTTGCCTTAAAATTGAAGAAAATTGTGGATCTGTTATGCTGTATATTGCTTATGAAGCTACAGGTGATGGGCTTTTTTACTTGTGTGCCTTTGTATCTTTATAACACCCTTGATACATGCACGTATATGCCTACATTTCAGTGGTTAGATACATGCACGTGATGTTCCAGACCTTTTGAGAGCAAAAGAAGTGAATTTTGATCTACAAACATTCTGACGATGGCTTGAACTTTGATGGAATCATGTGATGAAAGTTTTTAACTTGCTGATCTGTTCTAGAGGATGATTAATTGTTTGTAAATTAGATGAAGAAATTAACAATTGTATTATTGGGGAATGCTCAGAAATGGCCATTACAATTTCTTATTTATTAGGAATGCTGTGTTACATATATGAATAAGGTATTTTACTCATAATTTGGATTTTTTTTCCTTCAATTTTTTCGCAGAGTTTGCTCAGATTGAAGGAGCCTGCTGTCTTGCTACGTTGCCGGAAAGATGACCGTCATTTGGTGGAGTCTGTCCTGCATTCAGCAAAAGAGGAATATGCTGACAAAGCAAATGTTTTTCCCCCAGAAATCATTGTGGACCTTAATGTCCATCTTCCACCTGCTCCTAGCCATCATAATGATCATGGTCTTTTCTGGTAAATTATTCTTGAAAATCCAAGAAGATATCCTGAATGCATTTATTTGTTCATTCATGAGTAGCTGTTTGTGTGGGGTTTCTGAGGAAATTATTGAGTGTGTGGTCCGAGTTTGTTCTTAATCGTGGCTGCCATGGCAAAAGTAAGCCTGCCGTTGATTTCCAAAATTTTCTTGTGGGATAATTCACATGGCTAATTGTATCAGATATCTGAGGATTTCCAAATTGCGTAATAGGTAGCTAATGAGTATAAGGTTTCTAAAGGGTTTTTCTTATGTAGTTACTCTTTGTTATCTAAAATAATAGAGATGGAAAAACAAGTTGACTTTGGTATTTTTTATTGTTAAGCTCTGGAGGTGTGGTGTTGGCGTCTCGAGATGGGAAGATAGTGTTTGAAAATACCCTTGATGCACGTTTGGATGTTGTATTCCGTAACAAACTTCCCGAGGTATGTTATTGATTTTGCTGTTTGTTCTTGGCCTCTCCAATCACTCTAATTCCTTGCTGGGATAATCATATCAAGAAAATGACTGAGAGAGATTGAACTTGTTCTTAGAAAAGGAACAATTATGATTGTGAAGTAACCAATTATTTTAAAAAATGTTGTGAAGTACTGATGCAGACCCATATAATGGATTTTTTAGGACTACTTATTTTCGATAGAAATGTAGGATTTAATTTTAATATTTTAGTTTTCTCATTTTTCCTACTTTCATTAGGACTTCTTACCTTATTTGGGTGCCTATAAATAAACACTGGCTTTTTCTACAGTCCTGAAATTGAAATATTCAAGACTATTTCAGAATTATCCATTAGACATCAGATCAAGCTAATCTCATTCATTACCATTGGATTAAATCCAAATAAATTAAGTGGTTTACTGGTTAATTTTCAAGACAGTTTCCTTCTGCTTTTTAAGGCAATTTGACTCTCTCCAATCATGTTTTTACTGCATCAATCTCTTTTTCTTTCATTTCTTCCTGAGCCAATACTTGAACCATAGATTATACCCTCCAAGAAATAGTAAAGAGCAGTTTAGATTGAAAGTAGAATGGACTTCTCATGTTTGCATTCTTTCATTAAGTGGTTTCCTCTTAAAGGAGTTATAGTGGGATGGGAATTGGAAGAAATACTTTAGTATCCATCTCAAAGATTTCTTGGTTTAGTTTCAGATTTATCAAGTAGGTTTGGAGAAATTTTAGATGGAGTTTGAGAGATGTGTTTTTGGTGAAATTTTGAGAATTTTGTCATGATAAATCAATAAGAAATCTACAAATGGAAAGGATAGTGGAAGTTGAAATGTTTTATTGTTAGAAAAAACGAAATACAAAAATGAACCAGCCATGGAACTTGCATGGATAGTTACCATGACATGTGGGATAGTTACCATGACATGTGGCAACCATTCATATATTTAGGACCAATCCTGAATTTTGTGATTCGGGACCGTAGAACCACCCATAAACACCATATGCAGCATTGAACTTCAAGGTATTTTTATAGAATAAAAAAACTCGACTTTTCTACAGGATTGAATGGGTCTCTCTTGTTTTGATTTCTTTGAGATTGAGAGTCTCTGTTGTATGGCGATCTTGTTGGTGGTTCTACATCTTCTACATCATTACAGCATTCACTAATCCTTAGAGAAAAAATAATCATGCTAGTCCTCTGATTGACACTAACTCATTCTAAGTGAGCATCTCTTCTTGTTTTTGTTTTTGCACATTGAAGTTTAGAACTAGACTTCAAATAGCCATCTTAGACCCAACTTCTGGCCCAGCTTGTGTCGATTTTAGTTTTTGTTGAAAAATATGGGATACATTTCTGTCGGATTGTGTCACGTTATACCAAAGACATGTCTAGAGGAGGGCCTTTTCTTTCTTCTTCTTTTTTGGCTGTCAATTGACAGTCCATAAGGACAAATTGATTGATTGGTTGGCTCGTTTGGATCCGAAATCTAAGGAGGTTATCTTTTAGATGGAACTTGCAGCATTGACATCTGCGATTTGATTTGGAACTTCCTTTTCTGATCCTCTAGTTTGAGTTCCGAATAAGAGGTGGAAGTTCCTTTTAATTCGTATAAATTAGTATAATTTATGGGTCAAAGTAGTCCATTAGTTTGTCTAGCTTCATATAATACTTTATTTATTTATTTATTTATTTTAAGTTCGTTTTCTGAACCTTCTTTATCAGTTTTATGCCAGTACCTCTTTAAGATTTGGAGATTATTTGACAAAACCTCCCTCATTCTTATTTGCACATTTGCTATGGGATGCAAACAGATTTCTGCCAGAAGTTTTAATAGTATTTTTCCCATTCTATGATCATCTTTGTCTGCAAATTGCTGAAAATATTAGTCCTACCTTGGAAAGACCAAATCAATTGGCCTACATCATTGTTAACTTTGACGTTGTAACTTGACATCTCAGGAGAGTTTTGTGATTGCATACTGTGTAGCTACTCATTTGTATCTAGGAATTTATTACCCTAATGCTATATTGGCTTCTTATTGCAGATCCGCAAGTTGCTAGTTGGTCAGGCTGTATAATGGGATGGTGAGGCCTCTGCATGATGGGATGGTTTGTATTTTTGCTTGGCCCCTCTGTAATTTATGTCCTATATTTGAAGACCCAGATTGTCATCAATTGTTTGGTTGTGTATTTTAAATTTCTTGTTTGCAAAATACCTTTATTTCTGAATTTAGCAAATCTGGTACTTGGTTTAGTGCTTGTACCATCCTAGATACCTCAAGGCACTCATTCAATAATAAATAAAACATCTAGTGTTTTTGTGAAGTTGTACTGTCATAATCTTTCTCACTGATAGTTCCAGAAATATTCAACGAATCTTATTTTACAAGAACTGTTTTTGATGGACTGGAAACATCGCCAGCTCATATTTGAATCCTATCAGGGTGCCTTTTTATGTCTTTTCTGTTCTTACAGAGCTTTTCGAGATAAGATTTGAATCCATGCCAATGTTTGGCAAGGAGATTGGGATTCTTGGAAATGATTTTGAAATTGTTGCCAGGGATGGAGGGAGTTAAGACTAATCTTTTTCTTAGAAGGGGTAAAAAAAGGAAGAAACGAAACAGAAGTCTTTCGTTGAAAGGAACAATATAAAATGCTTGTTTGGCATTCCAGTTGTGGGTGTTTCTCTTCCTCTATCGGCAATATCTGAAATTGCAGGAAAAATGGAAAGCTTTTCTAAAACAATTGGAACAATGAGTTAAGACTAATTTTTGAAGTGCTCATATATATATATATATATATATGGGATAGTTTTTCTTAGTTCTTGCTGTTCCCCAAAAGAGGAACATGACTTCTTAAAGGAGAAAATTTTATTCAAACTCTGGGTTCTCTGATCTCTTGTTTGTGTCTGAAAACTTTTTTACGTGTTATACAGTTTTATCCTTTAATTAATTACAGGCTTAAGCTTTCTTGCGTTTACTTAATTACTCATGATGAAATTCAAGATTCCCCCTACAGAGGGATGCCATCTACGGTGTCTTTGGTTGGCGCCAAATGCATCGCTATTTATCAGTTGACTGGATAATAGAAAGTTTTGAAGTTAGTGATGAACGTTGTTTTTTCTTGCTTGGCTTCTTCCATACTTAATTGATGACATCCAAATAATGCACATAGAAAGCACAACAGCTCGTGTTCTGTTGCTGCATCTGCTAGCTGACTAATTCGGGGAAGTGGAACACAATTCTTAAGGCATACTTTTTCAGAATTGTTAAGGCATACTTTTCCATGACTACGCTAGCCAACCACTCAAGAGTAATTCACTTTTCTGATAAACCCCGCTTCTACCAGCCATGTTTCTTTTTGCTTGCTTTCCATCTTCAGCAAACCATCTTTTCTTTTGCTTGATCGGCTTACTATCTTCCCTTATACTCATTTTGCGTGTAACTAGGTCCATTGCTCGATCGGCTTACTAAGGCCGATCTTAGAGAATCATCTTCATATACTTCAAGGATGTTTACTGGTGCCTACTTGCTTTTTTAAGGCTCAGTTAGGTAGCAATGTTTGACAGTTATCTGATTGCTCTTGGCCTCACTTGTTCCTTTTTTAGTGAGAAATTCCATGACTTGGTGGTATGTAAAGACTATGGCTTGTAGAGTGTTAAATGACAGTCGCCTTAATATGACATTGTAAGTCGATGGTCTTTGTACTACCAAAAAGTCCACCGTAATCGTGCTTTGCTGTGGGTATTTCCTCACTGTTACTGGTACTGCAACCTTTCCCATTGCCATTACTGTTTCTCCTGCGAAATAATGTAATGGCACATTTGCTGGTTTGAATCCCTTTTTGCCAATCTTCATCTGTTCAAAACAATCATAGTATAATGCCTTAGCAGCACTACTGTTATCTATTAATTTTTTTTTTTTTTTTTTTTCACTGTAAAGTTGGCAATATTGGTCGTTATTACAATCGGATCATCGTGTGATGACTGCATCTCTTTCTTATCTTCTTCCTCGAAAGAGATTTCTGCTTCTACTACCTTACACTTTAAGTCCACGGTTAATGTCGATCTAGCAAACACATTCCTGGTCGTTATGCTTCCATTGCCTATTCCCAAACCACTAGTGATCGTGTTTGTCAACCCTCTTTGTCTTTTCTCCAGGTTTCTTCCTCTCTTTTATCGTCCGTACTGGACTTTTGTCTCTCATGTTGAACCTTCATCCTTCGCGATTTTGAGCAAAGCGTCTGCCCCTACACAACAGTTGCCCTCTCTAAGGCTCTCTTCTTTCCTCTTTCGCTCTCACCTTTCGAACTCCTCCATTACTGTGTGCATCCCAGTCTAGGAAGTTTTTTGGAAACCCCATGTTAATTAGATTTTGAATCTCATCTGTCAAGGCTATGTAGAGCTTTTCTAAATTTATCATTGCTTGCCGCATAAATTAGAGCTAATACTGCGGTCGAGACCTTCAGGTCTGCTATCTCAAGGGTTTCTGCATAAAATCTCATCATGAACTCTCTCAGCGATTCCCTTTCTTCTGTCTTACACTCGTCAAAGTTACAAATGTCTTTTCATCTTCTGATTATGGCAAAGTGCCCCAAGAACAATTCCACGAAGTCTTGAAAAATGGCGATACACTAAAGATGAAGATTAGAAAACCATGCATGTTAATGGTCTTCTTTCCAAAGTTGTTGGAAAAGCCACATCCGACATCTTGTATGATACCATCATCCATCTAAAGCAGTTGACATGATCATTCAGGTCCGCTAGTCCATCGTTTGACTTGAAAATGGATAGTCTAGTGTGAGTTGGGTTTCGCAACGAGAGATTCCTTCTCCAAGCTGTTCAATGACTTGAAAATGGCGATACATTAATTTTTGCCTTTCGGGCTCTTCTTCCCTTCACTCGTTCTGTTTAAACGGTAACTTATTACTAAACGGCACATTAAGCCATAATTTTGTCTAAAACAAATTCCGTGAATGCCGAACTCATGTTTATCTTCATGCGAATGTAATTAAACTCCATGATATAACCGGTTGGAAATGGGTTGTGCATGATCCAGTCTTGTTATAAACTACAATTATACTTATTAGTTGATACGAGATTTGATGAATTCAATCACAATTATGACTGGGAATATTTTTGCAATCAGTATCTTGTTTTTTTTTTTTTTTTTTTTTTTTTTTTTTTTAAGTGGCACTTTATTTTAACAAATAAAAATTAAAAATTAAAAAATTCTTTTTTCATAAAATTATATTAATTTTTCTTCTTGTGAAAATTGAATAACTTCATAATTAACATGAAATATTGATGTATACTAAATCAAAATACTGAACTTTTTTATTCAAAAATGGATTACTTACAATGGTAAAGTATAAATTCTTTTTTATTCATAAATATTTTCGTATATATTGCAAAAATAAAATTTATCTTTACAATGTATTATATATAATTAAGATGATGCTTTTTATCATATTTTCTATGGCTCTAAGTAGTAAAGATTCGATATCTAATTTTGGAGGGAAATACAAATTTGTATATTTTATGAAAAATCTCATATTGAGGTGAGAATCAAATTTATGGTAACTACGGATTTTATGATTTTTTTGCCATTTTTTTCTGAATTCTTTGTTTTTAACTATTAGGTTATTAAATAAAAACAATAAAATGAGAATAAATATCCAGTTCAACTAGATTGAACTTCAAAGCCAATATTGAGAATTCTTTTAAATTTTATGTTCTGAGAATTTATTTATTTATTTATTATTATTATTATTTAACGTTTGAAGAATGGTTTGTATTATTAAGAATAGAATACAAGATGCTGTAACGGCCAACAATAAGATATCTGTCACAAGTCTATAAAATTACTTCATTCTAGTTTTTTTTTTTTCCTAGGATTATAATATTTTATTGGGAAGTTTCTATATCTAATGGTGCTTTTATGTTCGGTATTAATTGTTCATGGACATGTTTTTCTCTATGAAGAGATGCCTGACTTCAACATGTTCTGCAATTGTCAAGCCTGAATTTTGGAAATTATAGCAGCTATTATAGTCAATCTTCAACATTTATTGTCATCTTGAAAAATATTGCTGCCAATTACAGTCTAAGGCGGATAACAACTTGTTAGTAGCCCAAGGCTAGCGTGTGTTTTCATCATCATTCAATCATCAAATAAAATATTTGTGTGTTTTGTCGCCATAGCATAGGCTATAGAGTTAATTAAAGGGTTGTTTCAGCTTTAACTCTTCGTGTGTTCTAACAAATTTTGGTTTGATATACTCTAATTTGTGTTTTTTCTAATGGTTATAGAGTAATATGATCAACGGCCTCTCACATCATCATTTTGAGATTACGATGACTATATGCTCGTCGTTAATGCCTTTTAGCGACGGGTTTTAAGCCTTTAAAGCTGAGAAAATTTATCGTTAAAGAGCTCATTTCTTCTAGTATTAGTTTTTAAAAAATTTGTCACTTTCAATGATAAATTTCTATATGGATGTTGCTAAATTCACCATCAAATTTGGTATTTTCACTAATTATTTTTTAAAAAATTACTAATATGCTTTTATCATTAATGTTTGTTTCAATATCATAATTAAATATATTTTATATGAAATACTTATATTTAAAATTTAAATGTGTATGAAAGAAAAATAAAGAAATTAAAAAAAAGCATAAATGTTGATGAGCATTTTAGATAGTTGATATAAACATATTTCACTATAATATATTAACACATATTCATGGAAAAGTGTATTGGTAATTATAAAAAACAAGTGCATCGGTCAAATAATTATTCATATGCTAATATAACTAAATATTTTTGTCTTCAAAATCAATATTAGATCAAAGCAGAATTTCAATTGGCCTGAAAGTTGAAACCAAACAATAATAAGAAGAAGAACTGATATCATCATGATGTCTGTATCATATTTATAAAAACAGCCAAACTGACATGCTACAGCCAAAGGCACAATAACTCTGAAGTAAATACAAGCAAAATGATGTGAAAGGATGAGTGCTTTTATCTAAATCATGCCTTTTGAACCGAAAAACCAAGGATGAAATCCTTGATTTCTTGGTTGGCTCTATCAAGCGCAGTTCGCCCATCTGCGTCCTTCACGGTATAACTTGCTCCAGCTCTTAATAGCTCTTCAATCTTTGGCTTATCACTTTCTGAAGCAGCCAGCAGTAATAAGATGTCCACTGGATGGATGTTTTGACTCAGAAGAGCCTCCATCTTGTCATATGTACCTTCAACGGCAAGCATCCCCATATAGTTGAAGTACTGCAAATTAGAATAGATTTGCAGCCAACACAACATTCTCATGATCATAATTCTTAAAGTTGAATTTATCAAAGAAAAGAATAATTAAAACATTCAGAAAAAGGAAAGTTTGAGACCTGAAGATCACGATATATATGATAAAAATTGAAAAAGTCAACAGCCATATCAGAGTTTGTAAGAGCCTAAGCCTACCTATTAATGATTCCATAAAATGATAGCATGAAACTATTCTATACTACAGAACAAACTAACAAAAACAAAAATTTTACTGTCAAAGAACCATCTCAATCCAAAAGTTTAAGTTCTTAGGTGAAGCCCCATGAATGGTTTCATATGACTCTCTAACACACTCCCTTTAAGTGTTTGAGCTTGAAACTTTTACAGACTCACACTACCTTATGCTTAATTAATTAGAAAAGAAATCGGGACAGTGAGATTCAAACTCGCGACTGTTTGATCAGCTTTGATACCATATCAAATAACCATCTCGACTCAAAAGCTTAAGCTGTTAGGTGAGACCTCATGGTTTTATATGACTCTCTAACCGTTGCAAATGCATTATTCAGAAACACCAGATGAAATAAAAAGAGTTGCATCGACATTAACTTCACAAACACAAGCCTAAAAGTTATCCTTTATAAGCAAATTCAAGCAGTTAGGGAAGGACAGGCATGAGTGACAGTGCTTCATTAATCTTCTTAGTACCACTGCTGAAGTCAAGCACACTTATATAAAGCAGAAAAGTTAGGAGATGATAACTATTATTTGGGCTCTGCTAGCACTTAAGCCTTGCCTGATTGCTAAACCTTAAGGGAGCTCACATTTTAACTTGAATGCAGCTTCTTTAAGGTACAGTTTTTGTTCCCAGAAATGCTGAAGAGTCTATATCTCATTACAAATCCACTATCTTAATAGATTATTACTACTTCAAACTTCTTGTAACTGATGATTTAGAATTTTAGATTATTAAAAAGCAACACTTACAATCAAGAAACTTGCCATTCCAATCTAAATAATAATAAAAAAATGTTAAATTTACTACTAGCACGTCATTAAGCCTGAGAGCACAACATGATTAGTCCACACCAGCACTTTAAAATTGCCATTTCTTTTTCTCTCAAAAGCAATTAACAAAACAAGCAAACTACTTCCTCCATAAACTAATAAATTCACAGCAGCAAAATTGAAAAGAGAGAGAGAGAGAGAGAGGACCTGCTCAACATCATCTCTGTCAAAGTCATCACGGGACTGGCTGCCATAAATGCCAGCACCTTCAGCATCAACACCATTTTTACCAAACTTGAACCAGCACTTTGCTCTTGACCCATTGGAGGGTCCAATTCTACAGGGTCTTAACCAACTAACATTAGTTTGAAGACCCAGAAACTGAGAGTTGAGTTTAGGCGAAAAAGATTGAGAATTTTGAGGTTTGGAAGCGAAAGTAAGATGGGTTGTGCTTAGGATTGAAGCCATAACTAACTAAACTGTGTTTTCTAAGAAGTGAAAAGAATCATGGAACTGATATTATCAACTTCACTTTCTATCCATTTTGGCTAGGATAGAGTGTTTTACTTACATGGTGGGAATCCAAAATCAGCCATTTACTATTCGTAGGTTGAGCAAGTGGCTGACAATGATCATCAATTTTCTTATCTCCTGGATTCATTTGATACGTACATAGCTAGTGGGCTATTTTTTTTTATGGGACCTGAGTTTCCGAATGACCCAACCAAAAAAGTAACGAAAATAATAAAAAGGTTAAGAACAAGAATTCATTTCGTTTTCTGAAAAAATCATTTATTGTCGATACCCACCCATAAGCCATAAAACTTAGAGCTACCATACCAAAATTTTACAGAACATCATAAAAAGTCAACAAATTTGTTGCTTTTCAAGTTTGAGGCTGGATCCCTATGAAAGTAAAATTCTTCAACTAACTTTTTTTCCACTAAAAAAAAAAGATTTGAGATGAAATGATATAATTATTCAATTTTCATAGACAACGAATAGAGAGATATTATATTGCAAAGGTGAAATAGAGTCGATCTAAACTAATAATGAAGTTGTTCACAAAATAATATGGTGGATTCATTTACCTCATGCTGACAAAAATAAATAAATTAATAAATAAAATTGTTTGCTGTTGTTAGTAATTTGTAGGTTTTTTATGAGTAAATTATAAATTAGTCCCTCTATTTTCAAAAAAAAAATAAAATTAATTAGTCCTCCTTATTTTAAAAATAATTATTGAATCTTTTTAATCAATGTTAAACATGTTTAATTTAATATATATATATTTTTTTTCATAAAATCTCTTATTTTCTTATCGATCTTTTCATATTTTTTTATTTTCAATTTCTTGAAAAAAAAATCAAAATAAATTTAAAAAGAACAAAAATGACTAAACTACAAATAGATTTCAAAACATGAGGATTAAATGAATAGTTTTTGAAATGAAAAAAATAATTAATTCATTTATCAAAACAAGAGGGACTAGTTTATAATTTGCTTGTTTTCTATTGATTTAGGAGGGTTTTTTTAATGATAATTTAGAGAATTGTTTGAAAATATATTATTGTTTGTTCTTATTAAATCTATAATATGAAGTGACACGTTTTTGTTTGTTGTTGTACGATTGAATTTGTTGTTGTATTGTACTATTACAATATACATGAAGAAATGTTTGTATTGGAGAAAGTATAGAATGGACTTTTCTGTTGCTATTTATTTATTTTCTTTTTTATATATAGCTATTTATTTATTTATTTCTGATTTTATAATTGAAAAGTTTTTTGTTTTTTTAAAGGATCTGATAAGTTGAAGAACGTGAGAGAGGTGAGTGGCGGGTCCTGTGTATAAGTCCATGTAAGCATTTAATGGCTAAAATTGGACGGAGTGGCTTGATTAAGTAACGGATTTAAGTAGAAGGGTCTAATTAAGAAACTTAATTGATGAGTGACGACATTAAGAAACTTATGAAAGTACAATGACTTCTGAGCTAATTAACATGCTAGATAGTCAGTTGGCTATTTTTAGAGTAAATTATAAATTAATCCATTAACTAGTGTACTTAATGATCTAGTTTTATTTACTATTATTTTATTTTAAAAAATATCATGTTTTTTCCTCAATTCTTTCTTTTCTTTTTTCATTTCTTAAAAAAAAAAATTGAAATAAATTGAAAAAGAATAAAAAAAGTTGAGTTATTATGAAATTTAAAAATATAGAGACTAAATAATTATTTTTTAAAATAAGAGAAACTGATCTATTTGTTTCTCAAAACTAGAGGGACTAATTTATAATTTTATCTAATAACATAATAAAATGACAACAAATTTGTTGTTTTTCAAGTTTGATGCCACGTCCCAACCAAAGTTGAGTTGTTCAGCCAACTTCTTTCTTCATACAAAATAATAATAATAATAATTAGGGCCATTATTGCCCTTTATCTACAGTACCATCATGGGCCTGCCTCAACAGACTGAGATGAAATGATAAAATTATACAACTTCCATGGACAACAGCAATGGCGAAATGGAGCGGTCTGAACTAATAATGCAGCTGCTTCCTTTAACTCATGCTGACATAATTTTCAGGGTAGAATAATAGTGAGTGTGTTTCCTATTCTGTGCAAAATTTACCCACACAAACCCATCCAACAGTCACCTTTAATACTCAATTTCTATATTTTTTAATATTATAATAAGATATTTTCAGATCAATTTTTCCGTCAATTATGTCAAAATCCATCATTTTCGACAAAATCCATCATTTCCTGAACTACGCCAGTAACATTTGAGTCTAAATTCATTATTTTTCAAACTAAATCAGTGATAAAATATGTTTAATTTTTAATTGATCGCTGGATTGTCTCGTAGAATAAACTATAGCTAATTATCTAGAAATAATAAGAATTAAATTTTGATCTCCACGGGAACCAAAGCAAACCTTTACCGCTGCACTAGTGGGTTTCTATTTACTCATAACATGCCAAATTTTGAGGTGGTTTCTTTACTGGCATTTACGCTCTTACCAAGCTAGTAAGAAACAAGTAACTGAGGAAATCAATTTTGTCACATGTACGATCGGTGATGCATGAAGAATGGCATTCATATCTTTCCCATGCCCATCCACAATGAGCAGAACAAGCAAATAACAAGCAACTACCGTTCCCATACCTCAGAAGCACTCAAGTTGATGCACCAAACTGCAAGCCATTGTTACCCTTTCTTCACTTACCATTCAAGACACGAAAGAAAATAACCACCTACTAAAAATGGACAAGAAAGAAGTCATCTCTCCTTTTGAGTCTGTCTATTTTTGACACCGACCAGGAAGCAAAGTTGGATTGCTGGGTTTTGGATGCCATATAATGAACCTATTGTGCAACTGGTATCAGATAGTTTCAATTCATACGACCAAAACATGCAGAGATCAATATGTGAAGGAAGGAGTCAAATAGTCTAAAGAGAGAGGTACAGTGGTTAGCAAATTAAATGTTTTTAACTGCAAGCACATGAATACAATGACAAGGTCACCATCTAATCTATAAAATCTAATGCAGCTCCCTTTAGATAAAGAACATGAGGTAAAGAATTCAAGTGAAAACACTGAGTGTAAGGCCAGTCACCAGATGGCATCATTATCTCAAAGCAATTTGCCCACCAAGACAGAGACCATTAACCAACTCTCTTCATCTGCAAGCCTCCTTCAACTGAACAAACACAACATGCATAAATCCAGCACCATTGCCACAAGAGTCTCCGAAGGCATGGCTGCACAAAACCCTGTACAAATAGGCACGAGAGGCACTGTTGGGTCCCTCATAATGCAAGAAATCAAGTACTTCAGCCAGCTTGAATTAAGCTGCCAAGAAACCTCACAGAAGCCTCAGCGCCATATTACTGCCGCAGCTTCAACTGGTAACGAATCTAAAACCACTCTCGGATCTGTAATAACAGCCCCGAAAAAGAAAATGAAAGGAGGCAGGAGGCGTCTACCGAGAATTTGTTCTATGGTGGAAGTGTCTGATAGCAGTCGGCCAATTGGGATTTCAGGATTCAGTTATAGAAACCTGAAATCTGATGTCAAGAAGTTGCAAGCTTAGATAATGCTCTCAGATAGCTTTGAGAAACCAAGCTTCTTGAGTTTACTTGTTATAGGGTTAGCCCATGCTCTATCCGTGTTACCACATTTTATGTCCACAATTTCCACAATGTTAATTGCTTTCTTGTCAGATTTCTCCCTACTAGGAGTTCTATCCAGAGTAATATTATCAGAGCCAAGCATTGGCATTCGATGGGCGATTTTATTGAAGGTCTTCACTTTCCGAGGAGTTTCAGGGCTTCCGCGATTAATGCCGCTGCTACAGCCACTGCTGCTTGCTTCATCTAATGATTTCCTTGCTTGTAGTTTTCTAGAAGTAGTAACACTACAGGGCACCGAAACAGGTATAGTTCTAGGCTTACCTTGACCAGATGCTGATGCTTGTGGGGAAGGTTTAATTGATTCCATTTCCCTTGTCATCAGAGCACCAATTGTTCCAGTAGTACCCACCCTGATAGATCCTCCGCCACCCTTGACAGCTTCTAGTTTCTGAACCATGTTTCTATCTCTGTTCAATCAGAAGTGTCAGCGCTATCTTCTAGTTTTTAGTTATTAGCCTTTAGAGCTTGTTGAGAAAATTGCAGCCAAATATGTTCACAAGCCTGTTATGCGATATTAGACACCTGCAGGTTCACGGTACTACTACTTAGTTGAAATCTGCATATCTTTTTAGTGGAGAGCAAAACACACACACATAAACAGCAAAATTTCCATTAAACTAGCTGGTACATTTAAATGCAGAATACTTTACAGCATGATAGCATCCCAAGGATGCAAAATGAATAGTTTTTTTGTCGAAACAATGAGTAAGACGAGAATTAACAACCAGAACTGATTAGCTACAAATCGGATTAGTGAATTTCTTGCCAAAAGAGTTAAAAGGAGCAAATGGAAAGGGTTTATATGGACCTGAGAATACTGGAGGTATAATCTAGCAATTGATTCCAAGCAACATTCATCAAACATGAGTTTGCTCAGAGGTCCAGCAACTTCTAACAATTGTAATAAGCTCACCAAGGTTCCCATAAACATCAATTAGGTTACATTAATTTTAGGGTTCAAAACATGGTTAACAACAGATCTTGGATGCATACATGAATATAAAATTGTACAAAGCAAAAAGAACTTCACAGTAATGTATTAAATTCCAGATACATCCATCTTTGTACTCTACTAACCATAGCTATCAATTAGAAAGAGAAAACATCAGATAGATAGATTTTTCCAGATTTCAGAAACCATTAATACCATTAAGATGACCTAAACGATATCAGAAACCCATAAACTGCACTAAAAAAACATCAGATACACACCTACAGATACAACTACGAGTAATTATTGAACATAAAAGAAGGTCATAAATCCCATGTTTTTCTAACATCAAATGTATAAACAAAAGAACCCAACAAGCTATGATCAAACCAGAAACAATCAAATGCAATATCGTAAAACAAAGATATAAAAAGATGATCATACCCGAGATCAAAAGCAAGCAAAGCAATCCAGTGACGGTAAAATTTCTGAGCCCAGCCAAATTCAAAGACGACAACAAAAATCAACAATCTGACCTTAACAGAGAAAATGAAACAAAACCCAGAAATGAGAAAACTTCTTTTGTGAAACTAAGACCCTTAGCATTAAAAAGTGTTTGCATGTTTAGGTTGAGCTAAGAATCATCACGTGGGATGATGTCGCATTCAAAGAACATAACATATCTAATCTAAGTCTAACTTTGGTAATAAAATCTAACTTTTTAGGAGGAGATGTTCTGTGTCTTCATCTGCATTTATGTCAGGGACGGGTCAAAAGCACAGAAACCAATAATGTAGCAGCGAATTCTGACTCTTGCGGTAAAACCAGACAATAACAGTTGGGGTAGTTTAGCTATCGCAAGCTCCCATGTCTTTGTCATGAACTGCAGCAAAAAAATTTAAAAAACTCGATTTTCGTGGACCAAGATAGTTTTTTTTTTTAATTACTCAAAATAGTATAATTAGTTTGTTCCCATTATATTATTAATTAATTAATTAATAAACAATGGAAGAACTAAGAATCCATTCAAAAGCAAAAGTTAATTAAGTATACTTGAAATGAAAAATCATACACGCTAGAGATGGATTTAAAAATGTTCGATTTTGAAAGAAAAATAATAACATTTTTAATTTTCGAGAGGATCATTATTATCTCAAAAACTACAAACTTTTATTAACCGTTCATAAAAAAAAAAAAAAATCGGGAACACTCCTCGAGTCCTTGCGCCATGCTAGGCCCATTGACATGCCAGTCAAGTGCAGCTCAAAACAGAAGCCCAACCTGGTGTTTCAAAACGAAATACAAGCGTAGAGCTAGCAATTTTTGGGCAGGAGAGGGCTGTCAAACTTGGAAGCCATTGTTTTGGCGGACTGGCTATGGACCATTTGGCGTGAAAGGTGCAAAGGCTACCTATCTCTTGATGCTCTATTGGTTGGTGTGACTTAATTGAGTCTAGACTCAACTACAAAGAGAAGAACCTCAAGAGAAAGAAACGTTTGATGATTAGAAAATTTTGTTCTTTTATTTTTTTTTCGATTTTCTTAGTTTAAATCTTGGTGTTAATATAATGACAGTAATGACAGTTAGTTCTTTAAATGCACTGAACAGATAAAAGAGTGTGCTATTTTTTTTTTTTATTAAAAAGTATATATGGTTTTATTTATCTAACTTTTGTTCGAAAACTTTATTAAGATTTTCTACACTAAATTTCTAGCTTTCCTTTAACGAAAAAACTACATGATAGTTACATTAACTTTGAATCTTTTCTCAATCAAATACATTAATTTTTATTTTTTTATTTTAATATTATTATTATTTTTTTAAAATACCAATCAAGTTTTTCATTCAATTTTTTATCTAATGACGATGTGACAGTTAATAGAAAAAAACTAAATGATTATGTTGACTTTTTCTTTTCTTTTCTACTCATAAATTGTTATTATTGTTTAATTATTAATTTTTTTAAAAAGAAAGAAACCAAAGTAGCTTAATTTTTTTTTTTTAAAAAAAAGCAAAGTAGCTGCTTTGCTATATTTTTTTAATTAATAATTAAATAATAATAATTTGGAAGGAAAAAAGGAAAAAAAACAACAACATAATCATTTAGTCTTTTTTTATTAACTGTCACTTTATCACTCAACGGAAAATTCAATGAAAAAACTTAATTAATATTTTTAAAAAATTAATATACTGAAATGAAAAAAATAAAAATTAATATACCTAATTGAAAAAACCCAAAATTGATGTAATTATTAGGCAGTTTTCCATTCCTTTTACTAAGCTAGATTCCAAAGACTATGGACTTATGGTGACAAATATGTAACCATAGGAGACATGCCATAATTAGAGAATATTTTATCCAAAAAGGCATGTGAAAAATTGGAAGATATTGTGTTCGTGTATTCATTTTGAGATATCTGGTGGGGAAAAGGTGTTTATATATTTGCTATTCTATGAACCACTATGATTAGAGCTTAGACTCAATGTTTTTATGGATAGATTTAATGGTCTATTTTTCTTTTTATCTTCAGTTTTGAATTTTAAATTTAAATTTTAGAATAAGTATATAAGAGAGTTTATTCTTCTAAAACTTATATGAGTGCTGTATTTATTAAAATACATAAAAAAGAAGAAGATAATTTATTATCTATTAATGATTAAAAAAAAAAAAGGAAAAAAAGAAAGAAAGAACTTGAGTCTAGACTCCAAGAACTTCATCTCTTGCTCCACCCAAAAACTCTCATAGCTGAAGCTTATTATATTTGTTTTAGAATTAACACTCTCACCTATTCTTATATAATAAAACAGATTTTCTAAATTCAAAAGTATTTGAACTAATTTCTTATATATTTTTTTAATTAAAATTTTCGATAAATAAAACATATGATTTACACATGATATGCGATTTGATAAATTTATTTTTATTTTTTGACATAATTGATCTATAGCTATTAATATAAAGATTAGTTTTTGATGAATTCGTCTAAAATTTTGACTAAAAAAATATATTAGAAATCAGCTCAAATAACATAGTAGAATGAAAACGTTTTTTGATTTAGAGACAGAATAAAAATTTACCTTATTATACAAAGACAGTTAATTGTATTAACCTTTTGTTTTATGAAGCTAAATTACGAAGATTATGGTGAGAAGATCCAATAATAGAAAATATGCAATTATTAGAGAATAATTTATCAATAAACGCAACAACCATCTTATACTTTGTGTTTCCTATTGCATGAGCATCGGTAGCGTAAGTTACATGCTCTTCCACCCCCAACGTGGACTCCGCTTTTCATCAAAATCCATAGGCAAATCATAAGCTTAAAGAATGCACGTTAACAAATTGTTTATCTTACAAATTGCAATCTCTCCCTCCAAGCAAATCTAAATTGGCCAACAAGCACACAAAGCTACAAGTAAAGAACTCATTCAAAAGGGTCCCACTCATTTAATTGGACTCTCACAACCCATTAGATGTTGACTTCATAACCAGTCATACAAATCAAGGGTCAAAATCATCTGATCCAAACTTCAGACCATTGTGTGACCCCACCATTTTGATCCCAAGAAGACAACTTGGAAGAAAACAAAGGGTGAAGGCTCCTCCTACTATCACATCTATCTCAATAGTGATTACTGTGATCTACTCTGTATTATATAGCAATTTTAATTCTCATTTGATTTTCAAACAAACAAAACCCCTTTTGTTTTCCCTCACTCTCACACCTCACGAAGATCTCACCTTTTTCTCTGGCCTTCTCTTCAAACAAATTCACAAGTCCTCCTTTCCCCCAACAAATGCAATCATCTCCGAACCTCACTTCCTTACCTTAGTTCTTACTCCTCCCTCTCTCCTCTCTCTAATTTTTTTTTCTTTTTCCATTTCTCTCTCTCTCTCGCTCTCTCTAAAAATCCCATCTTTCTCCTCTACGCAACTGCATTAGCCTCTTTCTCTGTATAAAGCTCCATTTTTCAGGAAAAAAAAGACATCCATTTCCTTCAAAACCCATTTTGCATTTTCTTCAAAGAATCCATTAACAATGAGTTCACAAGCACCCAAATCAAGTAAACCTACAAAACCCCAAAACCAAAACCAACCGGCATCGAGATCCTCTTCCTTGTCAACCCATTTAGCCATGGTCGAACTCAAGCAAAGAATCATAACTTGTCTCTCTAAACTCGCAGACCGTGACACTCACCAGATCGCCCTTGAAGACCTTCACTCAATAACACAAACAATCTCTCCTGATGCATTACCAATGTTACTAAACTCTCTCTATGACTCACTTTCCGAATCCTCCAACTCAAAACCTTCTGTAAAGAAAGAATCTTTACATTTGCTTTCACTTGCTTGTCAATCTCATAGAGATTTAACACTACCCCATTTGACAAAAATCATTTATTGCATTGTTAAAAGGCTTAAAGATTCAGATTCTAGTGTTAGAGATGCTTGTAGGGATGCTATTGGGGTTTTATCGGGGCTGTATTTGAAGGGTAATGGTGGTGGTAGAGAAGGAGGAGGAAGTGGTGGTGGGGATGGTAATGGGGCGGGGCCTATGGTGGGGTTGTTTGTGAAACCTTTGTTTGAAGCAATGGGAGAGCAAAATAAAGTTGTGCAATCTGGTGCTGCTATGTGTATGGCAAAAATGGTGGAGTGTGCTGCTGCAGAAGGGGATAATGGTGGTGGTCATGTGCCAATCGGAGCATTTCATAAGCTGTGTCCAAGGATTTGTAAGTTGTTGAATGGACAAATTTTCCAGGCGAAAGCGGCTTTGTTGGGGGTTGTAACGAGTTTGTCACAGGTTTGTGAAATGTGGTTGTTTGATTTTATTATTCATTTTGGCAATGAGTGTAAATTGTGTTGCTTTGTATGATAATTTGGTTGGTGTGTGTGTTGTTAATTATGTGAGTCTGTTTGATTTATGAGAAGTTGTGGATGAAATGAAATTCTGTTTGGGCCTTTGTTTTGGGTTTCTTACCTATGTGGTTCGATTAGATTTTTTTGGGAAAGAAAATGAACGATGGATTGTTTTGATGATGCGTGATTGAATTTAAGCTTTTTGAGGTGATTCTGGTGAATGATGAATTGTAGGATATGCATTTGTCAAGGTTTGATAATGTGGTTGTTTCATGTGTGATTTACATGGGTTTTTGCATTGTGCGTGGATCAATGTTTGCTTAAGGCTTAAAAGGAATTGAAAGAAAGAGAATGAGAATTTGGAATTTTGGCATTTCGTTATGTTCGATGATGCACTGTGTGTATACATCTTGGCAATCAGCATTAAAGAAAGAAGACATAAGTTGTAGCTGAATATTTTGTATTTTTATTTGTTCTCTGATCTGTAAACTAAAGGTGCCAAAAGAGAAGCGCTACCTCCTGTATATGGCAGCACAAAGCCAAGAACTTGTCAAAATGCCTGGATTAGCTAGTCTAAATTTGTGACTTGCTTAAATGGCTAAAAATTGTGAGGAAAGAGAAGAAAAAGTAGAATTTTGTCGCATTACTTGTGAAGGCTTCAAGCATCATTTGATAATTTACAAAATGTGAATAGAAAATTTGGAACATTGGCTTAGGTTTTCCACAATCTCTGTCTCTCTTTAAAATTCCAGTTGTCTCTTTCTTAACTGTCCCCTTTCCCTGAAATCTATCTCTCTTTTTTTTTTTTGCCTCCGGCTCAGACTCTCTTTCCTCTTTTAAAATTCCACCCATTTCTCTACAAACCATGCAAGATGAGCACACAAGCATTCAAATCCCCTAAACCTGTGAAATGCTTAAACCAATCTCCAACCTCATGCTCCTCTACATCATTTTCTCTTTCTATGCAGCTAGCAAATATTACACTCAAGCAACAAATCTTACTTTCTCTTTGTAAACTTGCTGACCATGACACCCATCAGGTTGCCTTGGAAGAGCTCTATTCCATTACCCAATCCCTGCCCCCCTATGCAGTCCCTGTGCTTCTCAACTCCCTCTATCAATCTTCCTCTGACCCCACTAGTAAACCCATTATCAAAAGGGTATCTCTCCACTTACTCTCTCTTTACTGTCAATATCATCATGATTTAAAATTACCCTGTTTAACCAAAATCATTTCCCATATTGTCAAAAGGTTGAGAGATCCAGATTCAAGTGTTAGGACTGCTTGTTGCGATGCAATTGGGGTTTTGTCAGGGTTGCATTTGAAGGATAGAGTGGGGTTGTTCGTTGAGCCATTGCTTGAGGCCATGCGCGCGCCAAACAAAGATGTGCAATTGGGTGCAGCTATGTGTATGGTGAAGATGTTGGAACATGCTGCAGCAGATAGCGTAATTGTAGGGGAATTTCAGAAGCTGTGTCCTAGGATTTCTAGGTTGTTGAACAATAAGAATTTCCTGGCCAAGGCTGCGCTTT